GTTGCAGCCAGATGTGGACTTCCTGTCAGTAAGATCAGAAGCCCAATCTGCATCACAATAGGCAGTGAGTGCTATGGATGAGGTGGAAAGTGCTGGCTTGATGAGAAGTCCATACTGAAGTGTCCCAGACAAATATCTAAGAATGCGTTTGACTGCTCTCCAGTGTTCTTGTAGAGGTTGTGCCATAAACTGACAGACTTTGTTAACAGCATAACTAATTTCAGGTCTTGTGAGTGTAGCATACTGAAGAGCTCCAACTATTGATATGTAGTATGTAGAATCTGATACAAAATCAGTGCCTTCTTTAGTGAGTTTGCAGGAACTAAGCATAGGTGTCTTCAGTCCTTTAGATTGAGTCATTCCAGCCTTGCTAAGCAAATCTCTAATATATTTTGTTTGAGATAGATCTAAGCTACCATCAGAGAGAAAGTGTGCCTCTATGCCCAAGAAAAATTCAATGTTACCCAGATGTTTTAGGGAGAAAGAAGAATTGAGCTTATGAATGAGATTTTGCACAACAGTAGAGTTGTTTCCAATGACCAATATGTCATCAACATATATAAACACATAAACACTGACATTGTTTTGTATGAAAATAAGAAGAGAGGGATCACATTTGGACTGTTTGAAGCCAACAGCATATAAGGCAGAAGTGAGTTTGAGAAACCAGGCCCTGGGTGCCTGTTTTAAGCCATATAATGCTTTGTGAAGCCTGCAAACCAATGATTTATCAGTGCTTTGAAACCCTGGAGGTTGAACCATGTACACTTCTTCTTCAAGATCCCCATTGAGGAAAGCATTATTCACATCTAATTGCTGTATTGACCAATGGTTTGTAATAGCAAGAGTAAGTAGAGTCCTGATGGTAACAGGTTTTACAACTGGAGAGAAGGTTTCTCCAAAATCAAATCCATACCTTTGATGGAAGCCCTTGGCAACTAATCTGGCTTTCAGTTTATGAACAGACCCATCAGGGTTTTGTTTGGTTCTGAAAACCCATTTACAACCAATAGCTTGTTTGTCAGGTGGAAGAGGTACAAGAGACCAAGTATTATTAGATAATAAAGCTTGGTATTCAGCTTTCATAGCATTGTACCATGCAGGATCAGTGATAGCCTGTTTAACCGTCTTTGGCTCAACATGGGTCAATAACAAGGTAGGATTAAGTCTGGGTTTGATGATGCCAGATTTGGCCCTAGTAGTCATATTGTGAACATTTGTGGGAGGAACTAAAGGAACAATTGGATTAGACTCAGATTGAGAAGATGTTGCTGCCATTTCAGACTCAGAGGAGGAATTAACTTCAGGTGTGGGTTGAGAATGAGAAGCTGATAAAGGATGAGATGAGGTATTTTCACTTGGGGATGAAGATGAGAAGGAAGCATTGCCATTGGGTGAGGAAGATGAAGAAGTAGGATCATTTATCTGGGTGGAAGTTGATAGAATAGGTAAAGGAAAGGTGGAGAGACTAGATTGGTTTGGGATGGAAGAAGAACTGGATTTATGGAAGATTGTGAGATATGGAAAATTTGTTTCATTGAATATAACATCCTTGGAGATGTAAATTTTCCCTGAGGGTGACAGACATTTATACCCCTTGTGTTGAGGTGAGTACCCCAGAAATATACATTCCTCAGAGTGATAGGCGAATTTGTGTTTGTTGTATGGTCTGATAAATGGGAAGCAAGAACATCCAAAAACCTTTAAAAAGGAGTAATCAGGGACAGAATTGTAGAGTTTAGTGTATGGAACAGCTTTTTGAATAGATGCAGATGGTGTTCTATTGATAAGGTAAACAGCAGTGGCAAATGCTGCATCCCAAAATTTGAAAGGTAAGGAAGAATGAGCAAGAAGAGTAAGGCCTTTTTCAACTATGGATCTGTGTTTTCTTTCAACTACACCATTTTGGTGGTGTGTGTGAGGACAAGCAAGTCTGTGAATAATGCCTTTTTCAGACAGAAATTGAGTAAATGATCTGAATTCTCCTCCCCAGTCAGATTGGACAGATTTAATGGAAATGGAAAATTGAGTGTGAACGTAGTTATAGAAATTTTGAAAGGCAGCAAATGCATCTGATTTAGCTTTAAGAAAATATATCCAAGTATATCTTGTGAAGGCATCAATAAAGGATATGTAATATGAATACCCATCAAAGGAAGTAACAGGAGCTGGTCCCCACAAGTCAGTAAAAATGAGTTCAAAAGGAGTGAAATACTCAGTATCAGAAGAGGTAGATGGTAAGCGTTTAGCTTTACCAAGACAGCAAGATGAACAAAATCCAATAGCATTTTTATTCATATAAGAAACATTACATTGTGACAGTACAGACTTAAGAGCCTCAAAATGAGGATGACCAAGCCTAAGATGCCAAAGTTTACAAGAAGAATCAGAAGTAGATAAAGTCTGGCCACTATTATTTGAATTAGGTAAAGATTTATTACAATCAGATTGAAGACTATTACAACTAAACATATATGGAGGCTGATGTTTCTTAGCATTTGGACTGGAAACTTGAGTGGACTGGAATTGAGGACCAGCAGGAAAGTGATGCAAATCTGGAAAGGAATGAAATCTGTAAAGACCATCAGTGCCAAGTGTACCATACAGTAGAACTTGTTTAGAACCCTGAGATTTAACAAAACACTCATGAGGATGAAACTCAAAATAAACTTGATTGTCTTTTGCAAATTTACTGACACTAAGAAGATTTTTGGTAATAGAAGGGACATGGAGAATATTATTTAAAGAAAGATATCAAGAAGAATTGTAAGGAGATAAGAAGGAAGATGAGCCAATAGACTTAATAGGCAAACCTTGACCATTTCCCATGAAGAGTTTATCAGTGTTAACAGGTGAATCACTGTGATGCAGGTTATGCTGATCATCTGTGACATGGTGAGTAGCCCCTGAGTCTGGAAACCATGTCTGAGGCTGAGGAAGAGGTCCCAAAATGGAAGAATTAGCAGATGCCCATGCTGCAGATGGTGGACCAGGATAGGAAGTAGAGGCTGATGGTTGAGATGTCCATTGAGAAGGCCCTGGATGCTGAGAGAAGGAATGTGGTGAGAAGGAATGTGAAGATTGTTGATGAACAAATTGATGTGGTGGGGGATAGTTAGGTATTGGCATGGGAGGCCTGAATTGAGATCCTTGAGAGTTCTGTACTTGAAAGTTATAGGCTGGATTAAACTGATGGTAGCAGATTAAAGCATGATGACCAGGTTTGTTGCAGACCTGACAAATAGTTGAAGATCTCCCTCCAGACCTACCTCCACCTCTGCCTCTGTATTGACCACGACCTCTACCTCTGTATTGACCACCACCTCCTCGAGTTACATTCTGATTTGTCTGAACCAGATTAGCAGAAGTAGTTTCCTGAGAATCCTGTGAATCTGAACTACTTGTGTTTTGAGATTCTTCCAGCCGAGCAACATTAGCAGAAAAAATAGTAGATTGAGATGCTTCACGAAATTTGCGAAGACTCCTTTCCTTAGCTAGAAGTAAGGATTCGACTTCAGAAAGTGTAGCTGGATCAAGTAAGCTGCGAGAAGTTATAGAAGATGAAAGAGATTCATACTCTTCCGGGAGTCCTTCCAGGATTACATTGATTTGATCATTCATAGAGATGAACTCACCAACACCAGCCAATGTGTCAACAATATTCTGAATATGAAGAAGATATTCAGAAATAGTTCGCTCACCTTTAGATGTCGTGTAGAGATCAGATTTTAACTGCCTGGCTTGAGCGATGATGTGAGATTTGAAGAATTTCTGGATCGCACTCCAGATTTCATGCGAGTGGCGACAATGGATAACCCTTGCGTGAAAATTTTCTGATAGCGAAGACAACAGCCAGGAGAAAAGCATCTAGTCTTGTTGTTCCCAGGTGATGAACGCTTCATTGACCTCTTTGCTTGCTTCATGTGCTGAATCAATAAATCGAGGCGGAATTTTAGGATCAACGATGAAATGTAAGAGTTTGTGAGCACGAACAACTGATTCTACATGTTGCTTCCAAAATAGAAAATTGTTCGTGTCGAGTTTAAGATGAAGAGGATGAGCAAAGGCAACTGGAAAAGCAAAATTTGCAGTCGAGGAGGTAGATGTTGACGATACGCTATCGCTCGCCATGGTCAACAGAAAAATTGAACTCAAGCTCGTGATACCATATTAGAAACAGAACTGAGATTGATAATAAAGAAGAAGAATAGAATTCTCATTAATGAAAGAGGAAAGTTACATCAGTATTTATACAGAATGACCCTAACTAAGTTTAGTTGAGTCTTAACAAACTTGTCTAACAAGACTCTAACTAACTAACAAAGTGCCAGCTCATCTTAACATAATTCGTATATTACTAACACAACTACACCCACCTGCATATACTAATGTTTCACTGACTCGATGAAAAGTTATAGAATTAGCTTGGACGGTGTGTACCAACAAGACTTAGCTTTGACGCTTGATGCAATTGTAGACGCAGCCTGCTCTATATGAAGCCAAACCAGGGCTGGGTGCCTGGGTCCGGAGTTGCAATCTTGAGTCTTAACAGTTAAAGGATGCAGTTACTTCACCATCTTCACAGGACGGATTGAGGTATCAAGTTGCCAGAGATGAATTTTGATGCCTTTTGTTTTGTTGTCATTCACAATTTGGCCAAATGATGGAAACAAAGGGCTCTTGATTTGGTAAACAAACAGGTTCCTATGACAGTAGTCTGCCATACAAGGATTTGTAGCACTTGCCTGTGACGATATGATGATAATATGATGATGATGATGAAAGAGCATTATGTTAGCTCAGAATCCATATACTCCATAGTTTTTTGCGTCTAGGGTTGAGGAATTGTGCAGCATTGTTCAATTCATCCTCACTAAAAGCGCGAATAGGCCATAATTGGACGTGTAAAACTTATAAGTGCTAATGTGCGATCGAGCCAAATATATAACAATAATATACGCAGGAAAGGGAAAAACTATGCACAGTTGGAATCACGGACATATTTAAACAAAAAAAAATGGGATTGAGCCAAGGAAAGAGTATCTCTGGTACAAACGAAAAAGAGAAAACCTATACACACCTAGAACTGTTGTTTCTTCTAAACAAAAAGTATTACGATCGAGCCGGGAAAATTTATTGTACTGAGATAATGTAAACAAAAAGAAACCCTGTCCTAAGAGCAAATGCAGTACCAATCTATACATTGTGGGATGTCCCTCAGTTTCTGATATATTTTCCTCTTCCACACTTATCCCCTCTCTAGTGCTTCCACAATAAAGCATCCTTCATCACCCAACCAAAAAAAATGTCAAAAATAATATATTGCATTAAATCGGAACCAATACAATCGAGATAAAGGGGTGTGGTGGGGTGCAGAAATACAGACAATACTACCTCTTCTGTGTTCAATTGGCACACTCTGTTCACAATTCCAACATCCGACGTTACTACCTCCTCGTTTTCAATTTCCGCATTAGTGTAAGCAAGGGCCTGCTGCAGTTTCCTGGCTGAGAATACCTCGACCTCTACCATATAAGTGGCTGCCACCGGCCTGTGGTCAGAAACTCTCATCTCAGATCTCCTGTAGCTCAGGAGGCGCATTCCCTTCCCCGTTGAAAGAATACGATCACACCTGATAAAAGTTATTAAAAGCAAACAAGATGTCATCATGTAGCAACTTTTTAAGGAATCATTGTACAACCCAAAGGCCAAAGCCAATGCCTAAGATACTTGCCATGCTGGAGTACGCCTCCCGGGTTTCGGATCCTCCCCTTGGTACTTGTCTGAGTTTATTTCATACTTGTATGTCGGTGGAAAATTTAAAATACCTTCAGACCATCCATCAAAAGCACGTCCTTTCTTGAATTCTCTGATCAGCTGTAAGAGTATTAATCGGTATATTCATCACAATAGCAAGAACCATATTTTTGTGTTTTACATCTTTTGACCCCTATCTAAAAAAGGTTCCAAAGTGAAAACTGAAGCAGAAAAAGTATAATGACACTTTAGCCAGTTTTCTTCTTATAAATAAACAAAAATGAGGGAAGTGGGCTGAACTGAATTCACAGAAAAGAAGTTGCAATCCCACGAAATGTCAAACATTTATCATGACATATTAACTAAACAAGTATTATACTAGTAATAAAAATAGATGAGGAATATTAAGTGCGTGGTTAATAGATATATTTATAGTTTCCAGCTAGTAGAAAGCTGTTTTCTAATTAACTCTTTCTAAAGGATAATAATTCACAATTGTACATTTTGTCATATGATATCTGTCTATCAACATTTTTGCAAATGTGATTCCTAAATTCTCTTCATTGATGTAAAATAAGACAGCGGATTTGCAAACTACTACGTAAATACAATTCAATGGCCATTTAATAAGTTGAAAGATGGACGTCACGGTGTGTAATGTGAAACAATCAAAGGACCAAAGGTAAGATTTTCAATTATTTTTTTCTATTCAAAGATTTTTAATTCTTTAATATAGTTGAAGAATTCCTTTTCCTCATTTTATATTTACTGATTACTAACAGCCTAATTAGGTTGGATGGCCTTGCATATAGCAATTATGTACAGAACTTTAGCTGCTACACCCTCCGTCCCATTTTACCTGTCTTACTTTCCTTTTTGGGTTCTCCAGAAATAAGTGTCACATTTCTTTTTTTGGAGAGAAATATGTGGTCTACAATACTTCACTTTATTATACTCAAATCTCAACCATAAATTTTACTTCTTCAACCACTTTATTAATAATTGTGTCAAACTGAAGTAGGACACATAGAATGGAACAGAGGTAGTACTTTATAAGTTATATCAGACACCTATCTTGGCAGATATGAAACTAAAATAAGAAGATGAAGTTCTTAGATGGTCAGCATCACCCCAATTATGTTGGGGTTGGTTTCATGGTAACTATAGTGTGGATTAATTATCTAAAATTAGTTGACACTAAAAACTCATACAGAAAAGCATAGTACAAATGTTTGATGCTAATGTCATTCCTGTCGCAACCTTGAACCTTCTAATGAAGAAATAATGAATCAAAAATCCAATATGTCTTGGTCATTGGTTTTTATGCTTCCATAAGAAAAAAATCATGAGACTATGATGAGTTGGAGTAGTTGTTATAGTCATGCATAATTACAGGATTAACTTTGTAAAATCAACATGCACAACTGGACCATGACCAATGAGAGTTTGTCTTCAGGCCAGAACAAAATTCATGTATGACTACACATCTACAAGAACTGTTTAGTTACTGCTCCAGGAAATTTGATTAATAAGAAATCTATACCTGATCACTCTCAATTAACTTAGGCCAGTCTTTTTTGGATATTAGCCCCAGTGTCTTTTCATATGATAAATTAATTCGATAATTTAAATCCCCAAGCCAGATTATTCTCCTGCCACAATATAAGCTATTTGTTAATTGTAAGAAATTGGAGGAAAGTGGATAGACAGTTCAGTTAACTATGAAATTTTGCTTTAATTTTTGCATTCTCATTAAATAAGTGAACTTCTAAAAAAAGGTTTTACACAAAGGATATCTTGCAGATTCTCATTAGATCAAATTACAAGGATTTGGGGAGTTTGATATAGCTTTACAAGTCATAGTCATTTATACTCATCGTAGTAAGTTTCATATACTTACTCATGGCCATTTATACTTTTAGGAAGGCCGACACTGGAGTATCTATTGAAATGTGTCCTTCGGTGAATTTCTTTCACATCAGCATGTCTCTTGACAGCATCCCCATATTTGTCACCTGATGTTAAGTGAGTACATATAAAACAGAACAGAGTCTGGTATATGGACATGCTAACTGATATTGATCCCTGGAATAAAGAATAATTGGCATGTTAAAGAATTGCAAGCAGCACTTTATAATAAGTGGAAACTTATGAACGTAAGCAAGAAATTTATGAGTTTCTAAGCTATCAAGCATATTTTAGAAAATATTTACTAGAGAGCCCCACATTGTCACTCAGAAGATAATGCACCAAAAACACATATCAAAGCATGAGAATAGAGACGTGAACTTTCTAATATGGGTTAAATTGAAATCCAAACACATACACAAACATATCAAATGATCAATTCAAATGGTTGATCCATCATCCATCACAGTAGACCAGAAGAACGGACCGAGTCGGTGAAGTTGCATATAACTTATATAAGCTCATTGAACCCCTGCTGGGAAGTAGAGATCAGCTAGATATAGGTTCACTGGAAACTCAGAGGTGTCACCGGTCAAATTCTGTCTTTTTAGGAGATTCCAAGAATAAGTAGGGAAAAGAACTTCTAAAAAAGTTGAAATTTAGAAAACATCTTTCCAGGTCAACCGCTCACCTAATTTATCAAAACAAATAGAAGCTTGATAATTTTCACATTGAGAAAGTATGATCTCCCACGTCTATATATGCATTACCGCACATCCCATCCAACCCCTGTTTGGCACCATCTTTTCATTTGTGTTGAATTAAGATTATATACAACAGAAATAACAGTATAGAGCATTGATACCGAATCAGTGGTGTCAGTTATATAATCCAAGGAATAATCTCAAAGAGTTATCCAGAAGTATCCTCATCTTTCACTCTCTTCTGTCAAGAATTGTGTGTTAATTAAGACCATGCTCTGAAGTTATTCACCTACAATCCATGAAAAATTTGATGTCCCTCAACTTTTTACATTTCTAGTGTTCTAAAAATCTATTTTCCATACTATAGCACATACTTCTTCATGAAAATAGACAAACATGATTAATTTAACAATTAAGTGAACTCCTTTATAGCTTTACTTTATATTCAAATGCAGCTACTCCTACCTTATTTCCTCAGTGTGAACTCTGTTTTTCAACTATTACCACACACATACCTTTAGCTACACATTCCTGTTAGATTCATCATCTTCATTCTCATTTTACATTATTATAAATAAGGTCAGTCTAATGGTGAACCCTTCGTCCTAAAATTAACTTCCACCTTTACTATTTGGGATGTCCCAAAATTAACTTTCTACTTCATTTTATTTCTAATTTTGGTAATCTTTTGCTGTAAAAGTACCCATTTTCCCCCTACTTTACTATTCATTTACCTCCTTTACTTTATTTGGACTATTACCCTCCCTTTACTATATCAAGGGTACAACAACAACAACAACATCCAAGCCTTAGTCCCAAAAGATATTGGGGTCGGCTAACATGAATCGATACATGATATCACAATCAAATAACGATATTCATATTTCGATTCATGTCATGTGATGTGACTAGGTGATACTGTTGGCCGTCACATGCCTACCACAGCACCCTCCTCCTTTATCCTGGCTTGGGACAGGCATGATACCAAAAAAATGATATCATGGCGGAGTTCCTTTACTATATCAAGGGTAATTTTGGAAAATCAACTTTTACTTTTTTCCTACCTAAAAACCTGTGAAGGTCAAATTAGGAAGTTAATTTCGGGACTGAGGGAGTGTTAGGAATAGTCATTCACAAATTTCACTACTCAATCATTCACTAAAAATAGTCATTCACAATTTGCTCTCACAATTTGCTATAGAACATCGGCTCATTCAGTGTCCTAATGCATGCATCATATTTATTGTGTGAAACAGAAGAAACAACGAAGCAAACTGTTTTGTGACAAAACATTTATGCAAAACCTAAACGATTCAGTAACTAATCATCAGCATAACCAAAAACTTGATACCACATTACATCACATAGAACATCCATAGAAGAAAGAAAAGAATTAAGAATAGAACAAACCTTGTTGCCTATGTAGCCCATTACACCTACACCAACTGTAGAAACACTCAAATTCTGTATATGTTTCCGCAAACTCCTACGGACCCATATAGTTAAGAAAATACCAACCAGTTGCTTGCTTATTATCCTCACATATGGTGTCTTTCTTTTACGCTTTATTAAAGATTTCAGATCCAGTTTTGCAAGTAAAGATGCATCAGGTTGCATTCTATTTTGACCATGTGTGGTTGATATGAGAGAACAATATTCTCCAAAAGACATGGATGCCTTAAGCGATTTCATAGATTTAAAAGAACCCGGTCTCTCTAAAGCACAGTGAGGTAGAAAATCTAGCTGCTGCTCTGGCCAACTCAGGCCAATCTTTTGTATTCCACTAAGGGTTTTGGTTAATTTCTTGGCATGACGAATACTAGTTTCTTCTAAATTTTCTTCAGAGCCTTCAAGTCTAAAGCAATTCAATCTATCCAGCCTCTTTGAAGATGAAAATAGCCGTTCAACCCCAGGTCTGATTGGTTCTGTGGACTCCTGACTACCTCTAGATGCAGATACATGAGCACTTGCAATTGCATCATTCTGTGCTATAGTTAAGTCACTGGCTTCAACAAACTCATTACATTCTTCATGTAAAGGAATCTTTTCCTCATCATCATCATTGTCCAACTCTGGTGCAATTTCCTCTTCAATGTCAGAAAAACTTTCAGATGGCTTAAACATCGATGGAGAAGGGGGGTCACTATGGGACTTGAACTTATTCTCGGGTGGGATTTTATTGAGGTTTTCTCGAATGATGTTCTCCCATTTTGGAATAGGACGGCTATCTTCAGCCCCAAATATATTACCGGCATTTAATGGAATGATTTCCTGAAATCTGTAGATATGAATTGAAAAGCAGTATCCAGTATAAATTGAAAAGCACTCATAAATTAACAATATGAGATAATGTATTGAAAACCTACTGTATCCAGGGAATATACTCTAGGTAATTATCGATTAAATCAACAAGTCATTGAAAATGAACTCAAAATGATATCCCCATAAATCTTCATATGTAATCTTTAAGAAAAAAAGCGCTCAATAAAGTTTGTATTTACCCAAGCACATAAATATCAGAAGGATTGCCAGTATCAATCCAATCATCAAGATCTAGATCATCTGGAGGAACTTTGCCTCCTACATTCCATGTACCAGCACATACTCTAGTCAAGCAAACATGAAGCATAGTGATTATAATTCGAAGTAATAATGATAATGTTTGGATATATCTTTATATGAGTTATATCCTGAAGTCTTCTTACTTAATCTCCCTGGTGTTTATATATTGCGCCCTACATGTCTCTGACTTTCGTCTTCTTATCCCGAGAACGGTATCTGAGATCCAAAACAAACTTCAAAATGAGAGAAGATACAAACAAAATAGACATGTAAAATGGTTCAAGGTGATGACCACACTAAGTAGTACAATGAAAACAATTTTGACAAATTGTAATGAATAAAACCCATATTTCAAATAAATACATCTTGAACAAAAAAGGAAGATATGCATAACTTGATCTAGAAACGGCATTACAGCCGTAAGCAATGGGTGAACTTCATTTCTTTATGCATTTGCTTGGCTGACTAATGTTAACTAGCATTAAACGCAAAGCCTAATTTGAAGAGGAAAAGAATAATGAAAGAGTATATATATTAGTTACTAGACGAACATAGCCAGAACAAGATGCATGATTCCTGGTGATCCATTCCCTAGTAATAGTAAATATTTCATGCAACGGACAAAAAAACTTTTCCATTTGGAAATAGGAATGCACCTATGCTCTGGCAGTAATTGATAGTAATTAATTCACAAAAAATATATAAAAGGATTACCACCTTAAAATCCGCCAGTTCAATACTTGAATACCTACAGGTTAAATCACAAAGCTTTATGAACAAAATTAAACTTAAGATGTTCATATTAGCTTTTACCTTTCACATCACTTTCAACTTCATCTCCTCTGACATCTTTAAACCGCGACTCCGGTGGCCACTTACAGGCATCCACAAAGCCAGCTTGAATTCCAAATACCAAGTCAGACTGACTGTACGCAGGATAATTTCTACATCAATAAGGAATCGACTGGATTGAACGATAAGGTAAAGAAACCTTGATCGATATCAGATTCGAAATCTGATTCGGTGTCGGCGCTGTAATCGGAATCTTTGGCGCTGATGTTGAGCAACTTGCGAACCACCACGCGCGGCCAGAAAAGCTGTATGCACGTGCAACCGAAACATAATATTTCAGCCCAACTTCTCTGCAATTCCACTTTGGTGAAACAAGGGAAATGCAAAGCAGAAGGAAGATTGTGGACAAATGGAAATAAACATAAGAAGTATAATAAAATTGTCAGCGAACAGAAAGTTCACCTCGGTTTGACGTCGATTCCTTGAACTATGCTTCATGTTAAGACATAAAGGCGAAATCTTGGAGCAGAAGAGTGAAGGGAATTGGCGTGGGAAAAATATGGAGTAAAAAGAAGAAATCGCACATGATGCTGGAGCTGGAAGAACAGGTCGACATGATGGGTAGCAAAACCATTGATGGATTATTTTAAGACAAAAGTTTGCAGTGTAGTGATCACTTGTGATGATTGAGTTGGATAAAGTAGACTACTTTTATCAAATAAATAATCAGTTTTTTAATTGGATAATGATGAGACATTGAAAAGGTAAGCTCTTTAACCTGAAGCATTGCCTTAAGCATTTTAGGCTTGTAGCCCTCTATTGCATGAGATGGATGACCCGTGTGTATTTCTTCCATGATGACCTCAATGAATAGGTGTTATTTGAAAATGCCTCATTTTCATTCTAACTCTTCTATGAACAAATGTGTTCCATTTGTAAACTTTTTAGTACTCCCTGATTATTAGTTAAGATTTTAAATGAAAAGGGTTGTAGTTATTTGATAAAAACCAATTGTTTAATTTAGTTTTGTGTGGTATAACACGTTGTTGTGATTAATTAATGCTAAAAGCTCAGTATTGCTTCACAAAAAACATCTTTTATTTTAGAAAAAAAATTCTTAAAATTGTCGTGTTAAACCGTACAAAAGTTAGAACGTAGAGAATTATACTATTATCTACCAAACATGCATTGAACTACTATGATTTTCTATAAGGTCGCTCAAACTACTTTTTGTTCACAGCATAAAGATTTCATCTACTTGCATAACAGTTTCTATGTAGACATTCCGGTTGTACTAGGATATAACTAGCATGATATTTTGGATTTAAAGAGTGTTTATCCAAATACTTTCACGGGAGTTACCATGAAATTGAAGTTTTTTCTCACACTTGAAGTGGAGTGTAATTCCACAAATATGTTTCCTAGTTTGTGCAAAAAATGCTTTAACATTATCCCTCACACTAGACTTTTTGGATTTGGACCCTTGAGTGAACAACTGAACACCATGGTCTTCTTGATGACACGGGGTGACTTTGGCTTGAGAGTGGTGTTACTCTAACTAGGTTGTTTGTCCCACCTTAAGTTGGTTGCTTGTTCCACCATCATATTTTTTGGAAGATAATTGTTGGGTGTATGTTCCATCTCAGGTCTTCATTTATCTAAATGGCTTACACATACGCTATTCAAGAGTTTAGTCACTCCATCACTCACAAAGTTTAGGCCCTCACTCACTTTTCCAAGCTCTCACAAAGGAAACTCCATCACTCACCAAGTTTAGGCCCTCACTCACTTTTCCAAGCTCTCACAAAGGAAGCTCTCACTAAGAACGAAGGAGTCTGATGTTCTAACTCTCAATGATATAATAGGGACATATCAAGCAAGAAAGTGACACTCAAAGATATAATAGGAATGCCCAACTCATGAAGGCAAGTAATTAAGTTAGGTAATAGGCAAAGTCGCAAGAAAAAATGTGAGTAGGGCTAAACTTAAGGTGCAGGCCTTAACATAATGAGTGGATGAGAGGCCCTTTGTAGGACTAATACCTTCAACAATGAAATAATATAGAGTTGAACAGGGCCACAGTGGTGGATCCAGGAACCTGAGATGCCCTGGACTGAATAGGAATTATGTTAGGCTTAAATTTTAGGGAAGTGGGCTAAATGTTAAAAATGAAATTAACATAAAAAATTTGAAAAATTGTTATGTTGCCCTGTGCTTCAGCCTACCATAGCCCGTACATAGATCCCCCTGTAATTGGCGTTCATCGGTAGAAGCCTGGGTATCACGCTATGATTGTGCATACATGTATTTAAACTCAAGTAGCTAAGGCCTAAGGGGGGTACTCTCGTTTTTACATCCTTGTCTTCAACAAAATATATTCTTTGATCGTAATAGTTCAGTTAAATGAAAATTGCTCTTAATCTTGTCTGTCATGAATGAACAAAATACATTAAAGTATGTCATCACTTTGTGTCTCAAAATTCTTTCTCGATTTATTCGTAGATGTGATTCTACTGCTTGGGCTCAACATGCATATTATTTGACCAAGGATTTGAGACAGAGATTTAATTTTCAACTTTTTGAGTTGGGTGCTTTACCATCACACACTCCTACTTGAGGGGTATTAGCTCTTACACCGCAATTATTTTAATTGCAACGGTCCATTCTTTCTTCGTTCTTTTTTTATTGTAACGGTCCACTTTTCACGCTTGCCAACGCACAAATTTGACCATTAATATCTTTCATTTCTTATTAGTAAAAAAAATTAAAAAATGCAAATTTTGAAAATTTACAATGAGAGGAATTTAAAAGTCATCATCATCATCATTACCCCAATGTCTCAAAGGCTCCCACCTACGGTGGGGTAAGAAGGGGTCAGATGTACGCAGTCTTACTCATGTACTAAGGATGTTTTTACTTGGACTGTAATTCGTCCCAGACCAGACCAGACCAGATCAGACCAGACTAGACCAGACCAGACCAGTTCAAACCAGACCAGACCAGACTTGGATAGTTATAAAAATACAAAGAAACCAGACCAGACCAGACCAGTTCAGACCAGACCAGACCATACCAGACCAGATCAGACCAGATCAGCAAATTACAGTCCAAGTAAAAACATCCTAAAGCACATAGAGGCTATTTCTGAATGACCAATAATGAAAATCGCGTCGAAAAATACATGGACTGACTGTTGCTTTACAATAAAGAAGCGCAGACAGTTTAATGAGAGGAATTTAAAAGTATTTTTAAAAAATTAATTTATAATACATTAATACATAAAATATAGTCCAAGTAGAATATGTGAATAGTGCAAAAAGTCTAACGTTGCAATTAAAAGAGAACAATATGTTGTGAATTGTATCGGCTTTGAGCCATCTTGAGTGCGAGTGTTGTATATTGCAAAATGTACATGTGAAATAGGCATTGAGCCCTCTTGAGTGTGAGTGTGAGTGTGAGAGTGCGTATCTTCTAACATGTACATGTGAACTAGTGAAAATATTTTTACCTTCACTGACCTATTTTTCTTCCTATGTGCCTTCCATCCTTTTATCCTTAAATTCACAAAGTTAGGCACTAGGCAATGGCTCTCTTCATTCATCCGGCGAAACAAAAAGAAACTTTAGAATTATCAAAAGATAAAAGTACTACCTCTGTACAGTTTTAGCTTCTCATTTAAAAATGACTAGATTATTTAGATAATAAGGTAACACAAGTATTTTTGAGAAATAGTTTTAATAGGTTTATAAAGATCATTAATAATAACTTTGATGTAAATGCATTATTTTTAATGTTTGATGATTAATATAAATAGGATATTTATTTTAGTTGGGACATCCTAGCTTAAATTCGAATGAGAGGCTTAAAGTGGGGTGGAGGGGGTAATTACAAAAATCAAATAATGTGCACGGAGTTATTTCCGATAGGCTTACTTGAATGAGACTCATGTGGATCGTGAAGGGTTAAGATTAACAAACAATCCGAGTAATAATAGCATAAGTTGTAAAGAATACAAGGGAGACGGCTACATAGGGGGTGTTTCGTCCTTATTTAGCAAAGGAGACACTGAGACGGGATGGTGCAAAGAGGGTGGTAAGCCTTGAGGGTATTCTGGTAAAATCGATACCCAATTGTTGAAGATACATATATTCAATTGAATAAATGGGAACACAACTCATGAAGTCATGATTTATTGTTGGGAGATTTCAACAAATAAGACTTAATCAAACTAATTTTCCAAAATTAAGACTATAGATTAGGGTAAGACTTAAGTATATGAGCTTTGACCAAATTGCCCTTCATTTTAAAACCCCAGCGAAGCATCCCTTCAAGCTGTAAGGAGACCTCTGCTGCGCACCTGGGATTGCTCGAAGAAGACTCAAATCTCCGCTACCCTCGTCGTCGCCTCCTTCCCTTCTTGGCCGTTGCCTCCTTCCCTTCCTGGCTGTCGCCGTCACCTCCTCCCATGTTCTGGCCGTCACCGTCTTCGTGTCGTCACCCTTTCCCCTCACAATGGTAACACAGCAAACTTAAATCGCCTCCGCTGCCTTATTCAATCTTCCAGGTACGTCACTCCAATTCAGTCGTGTGCGTCATTCTCTTCTTCTACTTCTTCACGATTGAGTTGCGACCGGCGAAGCGTGTATTATTTCAGATCTGGACAAGAGCGGCTAGGGTTCGAGTTGTGGGGGCGAGTGTGGTGGGCGCGCGGCAATGGCGGAGAGGTACAGCGGCGAAGATGAGGTGCGAATGCAGCAGGGGCGAGGTACGACGGAGGCGGCATGGTCGAGGTACGACGGAGGCAGCAGGGGCGCCGACGAGATGTATCGGAATCGGTGAGATACGGTGGTGGCGATGATGTGTTGTGGCGGTGGACGTCCATGTGTTCTGCAAAACTTTTGAAGAAATCAGATCCAAAATCAAACTTGCAAACACTAGACAATACATAGACATTAAGTAGTCAGTAAACAGACAATAATTTCGAATAATAACTCAATAGCAGGCAATACATAGACAGTAAGGGTAAAATTGGAAATTTAAAATCAAGTTTTCAAAATTAGAACTGCATAGCTCTTACGGAAGGAAGAAACATACATATATACTATTTTTATAAAAATGCTTTGATTAAGTCCTACATGGAGCAATTTTCTCTTTATTGTTTATAAAACAAGTTATGTGATGATTATTACTCGGCAAGAACCATCCATAACCCTTTTACTTGCCCATATAAGGTTTGTTCTCCTTCTAAGTATTGTGCAAGAAGCCACGAATGTGCATGCATATGTCCATAAACTACTAGGGGATTTGTGCAATTCAAAGAATTTTCATGGATCAGCTTGAAATCTTGGATTAGTTACTCCAGAAGAGAGAGAATTTGTTTTGAAATATGGGAAGAGATGCTTTTAAATTCTACTTCCTCCGGTCCTAAATAATAAACTTCATAGTTTGACTTTACATTTTTAAGAAAGTGGAATTTTTACTTTTAACTTTCCTATCATGCCCCTACAAAAAGGTGATAACGTGTAGTAGGAGAGAGAAAATGAGTGTAAAGTAGGTAATAAAGTAAGAGTATAAGAGTAATTTTATGTTAAAAACTTGCCAAAAATAAAAATGCGAAGTTTCTTTTAAGTCTACCCAAAAAAGAAAGTGTGAAATTTATTTAGGACCGGGGAGAGTAATTACTAGATGTAGTCATATAGACCAGTTCTTAAATATTTCCTTTTATTATGAAAACTGGATTTTTAAAAATGAGTGAAAAGTTGCAGTTCCATTTAATAGGGAAAGCTTGTATTATCACTTTGATCAAATGATTGTCTTTTTACTAAGCTTATATTAGCACATTGTATTTTTTGCATAAGAATTAAGAATGCACAAATCTTTAGAGACCTAAATGCTAGTGAAGTCAGAGAGAAATCATGCAAGCAATACTTTTTTTTTGTAGGCTTGTAGCATGTAGGTCAGTCCCTGGTGGACGAAGGATGGGAGTTATGTTAATTTTTAAACTTTTCGGTGGTCTTGTTTTTTATTTCTATATTTCCTTTAAAGAATGTCAAAAAAATGATAATAATAAATACAAATTCAGACATCCCTGCAGGCTGCAAGGTTGTTCCATGTGCGCTCAATATAATTTTAGTCTGTTTCTCTAAAATAAAAAAAAAGGAGCCCCGGTGCTCAAGCACATTGACGTCCCCACAAAGCGAGTGTCCGAAACCCGCCCACCACAAGGGCGAAACCTGCCCACCACAAAGGTGTATTGGGGGCAAGTCTTCCCTTGTAATTTTGATAAGAGACTGACTTGAATCTGTGCCCTCTCGGTCACACAGCAACAACTTAACCAGGTTGCCAAGGCTCGCCTTCAATAAAGTAAAAACAGAAAAGGGTAATTTCAAAATTGGGGTGCATTAAGTAATCCTTCAAGTTCTGATGCCTTGGCGTGGAAGAAACAACTTTTACTTACTACTGCCATCTATTTGCTTCGTTATTGTCTGGAAATTGGCCAAATGTGTGAAGGCCTTATAATTTTTGTGAATGTATATGTAAGACCTGTTACAATGGTATGCAATACAAGGATTTATAGAGCTTTTCTGTTATGGTAAGAATGTATGATGGTGATCATGATGGACGGTTATGTTAGTAAGTAATGCCATTGTTGAATCAAACCATGTATTGTGATCGAGCTCAGAAAAATAATGCACAACAAAGAGAAAACCTATACCATAATAGCAAATGCAGCATTAACCCGTCTATAGCATGTCGTCCCTCAAGTTTCTGATATCTTTTCCCTATAGTCATCCTCTCCGGCTCTCCCATGACAAAGCATCCCTTCCTCACCAAACCAAATCAAGACTGCTTCAAGTCAGAACCAATACAATTGGGATAAAGAATGCTGACAATAATTTCTTTTATGATATCAATCAGCTCATTATGTTCTCAATTCCAACATCCATTACTACTTCCTCGTTTTGAAGCTCTGCATCAGTGTAAGTGAGGGCTCGTTGCAATTTCCTGGATGAGAAAACCTCGACCTCTACCACATAAGTTGCTGTCACCGGCCTGTGGTCTGACAGTCTTATTTCGCACCTCCTGTAGCTCAGGAGGCGCATTCCCTTCCCAGATGAAAGAATACGGTCACACCTGATCATCATTAAGCAACAGTTATTATGAAATAACTGCACTACCACCCCAAGGCCAATGAGGAACGCACATATGTGTTTATTTACTACTTCTGACACGTGAAAAAATACTTGCCATGCTGGAGTACGCCTCCCAGGTTTTGGATCCTCTCCGTGGTACTTGTCGGAGTTCATTTCATATTTGTATGTCGGTGGAAAATTTAAAATACCTTCAGACCATCCGTCGAAAGCACGTCCTTTCTTCAGCTCTCTGATTAGCTGAAATAGCATCAATCAATACCGCAAAAACCATTGCTGCCGTTTTCACATATTTAATCTCTATCTAAAAAAAGAAGGTTCCATATTGAAAACTGAAGTAGTACGGTTAATAGACTATTTGGTCAGTCTTCTTGTAAAAAGGGCAGCCCGGTGCACACTGGCGTCCCAACAAGTCGAGGGTCCAAGAAAGGGTCCCACCATGGCCCATCTTCTTCTTGTCAAAAGACAAAAATGAGGAAAGTTAACTTGAATAGATGGACATTTGAGTTATGTAGGCACTTTGAGGTCTCGTAATTTCAAAAATGTTATTACTTCCATAAACTATTAAGAATAGCATTAGTTTTAACAAGTAAAATATTATAGTGCATTTGTTTTTTATAGCATTTTTAAAACATTTTTTATAGATTTAATTTTTTAAAAACAAATCCTTCTCACTTTTATATCAAGTGTTCACAAATTAACTTGTTAAGTTGCATGGCTTTGCATATAGAAATTATCATAGCACTTAATAACAGGTACCTGTTTTGGAAGAAATGGATAATAGATAAAAGAAATGGTCGTACATGGTCATCATCATTCCAACTATGTGGGATCAAATGCATGAAAATTATAGTGTCACCTCATTAATTATCTGAAGTTAGTTAACACGATAAATGTATGCAAATAAACATTGGCAATTGTTTACACTGAATGCCTTTGCTGCTCAACCTTCGTATGAACTTATGAATGAAATGAAATTCCAACATAATTGACAGTTTCCACTTGTATAAAAAATATCATTGAGACGTGATGAGTAGGGATAGTTTGCTACAGTCATGTCCCCTTAACAGATTGATATGTATCAACATGCACATCATAGAACATGACCAAGAAATTCTTGCATGGCAGAAATGGAATAGGCGAGCTTGTCTTCTCTTATCCTAAGATGCGACATAAATTCCATAAATCATATGCATGCACACTTATGGCCCACCCAAAGTTCGGTAAAAAACTTTTTATGTATGTGTAGAATTTTTAGTACACTTAAATGAATAAGGAATGTTTACCTCGTCACTCTCGATTAGCTTCGGCCAGTCCTTTTTGGATATTAACTCAAGTGTTTTCTCATATGATAAATTGATACGATAATTTAAATCCCCCAGCCAGATTATTCTCCTGAAATAATATAAGCTTTATGCTACTTTTAAGAAATTAGAGGAAAAAGAAAAGACAGTTCAGTTAAATTTGATTCTTGCATCAAATCATCAATTAATGAATAACTCGAACAACCTAAGTGAACTCAAAACAAAAACTAGATTTCTGAGTGTTGACACAAAGGATATCTTTCAATTTTTCATTTAATCAAATTAAAAGGATTTCAAAATTTTGATATAGCTTTACAAGCATCTCTTTTACCTTTTCAAATTTTTTTAGTGTTGAAAAGGCTTATGGTTTTCTAGGCAACTAAAAGGCGCAAAGAAACTAATAGGAATTACATTTCCACTGAAGAAAACAAAACTGATAATTCAATTAAGACAGGCATTGCTTGGTTTTGTCTGATAAATCAAAAGGTGTGTAGTCGGTGATAACCTTCTTTTACTTGAACAAAATTTCACGCAGCAGAGCACATGTAGCTCTAGGCTGTTGAGTCCTTATTTTATGCTTTTTGGGCCTCAGTACTTATTCTATTATGCAATAAATTGCAATAATGTTCTTATTATGTTATTTTTATCTTATATTTATCTTTATCTTATCCATTTTACCTTATTTTATCTTTTTTCATATTTTTCTTCTCTTTTTGGCTCTGATATAATAAATCGATTCATGTTAACTGACCCCAAAATACTTTGGGAATAAGGCTTGGATGTAGTTGTTGTTGTATCGCTTTGGGATGGGAAAATTGCGTTGGTTTTTCACTTGTATGATTGATTAGAAAAGTTGAAGGCAGAAGTTGCGGTTTCCTATATAAAAGGGTCACACATCCTCGGAGAACCAACTTAATGAAGCAGAGGTTATGATTCCAAATTACATCCTAGCAAAAAGCACAAGGTTATAGTTTCAGAAGATGCAATTAAAGTTTCAATAGGCATAAATGTTTGGAAGTTAGCGATCCCACACAAAGTATTCTAATCTTATTCATTTCCCAAGTCTAACAAGACCCATAAGATATTAAGGGGCTGTTTACTTGGAACTTAATGGTCTTAATGAACTTAATGATTTAGACATTTAATCATTGAGTTGTGTTTACTTAGAACTTAATAAAATGGATGACTTATTCGCTCAGACAAAAGGTGACTTATTGGCTCAGCTGAAAAAATACACTCCTCCCCGCTCAGACATCCGCTCAGACATGCGAACGGATCCACTTCCCTCTTTAACCCCAGATAATACTCCGTAGTTTCGTTTATCTTCCTTTGAACAACGAGTCCTCTTTTACGGACCAAAGAAAGCAAGGCGGTCGTCTTCTTCTCGAGCAGAGTTCTTCTTTGGATCTACAGCTTCACTATTTGGTATTTGTCTAGATTACGCCTGCAATTTTTTTTTTTAATTTCATACTTTTATATCAATATACAATTACCTTGTTATATGCTCTGCTCCGTTGAATTTGAACCAGAAGCAAAATCCCAAGCAATCTACTCGCTGACCATTTACAAAACACCCATCTTCATTCCTTTTTTTGGCTAAAGCAGAGCACGACGAGCTTATGAGATTGATTCTGATGACAACAATTCCACTTACTAATATCTGCTGTATTTTGATTGTATAGCTTAAAATTCGATATTTGTTTTCTATTCTATTATTATTACGAACTGTTTTACTAAAGAAATTGTGATATGTCCTAAGTGGACATTACACGGTGACCACATGCCCACATGTCTTTTTCTTGCAAGACTGTTATTATTTCCTTGTCTTATTTTCAGACACATAAATTTTATCTTTCAGAACAAGTAAAATAAACAAACAATATATATTCGAAATTTGTTACAGATAGGAGGGTTATTTAGTCATTTGATATGATTCAGAATTTTCATTCAGCACACATGGTAAACAGTTTGTTATCTCAGTGTCACTTAATCCAGACAGACATCTTAATACAGACAGACGTCTTAATCCGTTCAGAACTTAATGAAAAAAAAAAGTAAACGACCCCTAAGTTTGACATCCATAAATTAAGAATTCGTCCAAAGCTTAGAGGAAAAATCCATTTTGACTCTTCCTCAGGCGGAGTTAACAGCAGAAACAAAACATCCTGTAGAAAATTCAAGATCAATCGAGGATGTCTTTTATTTTTGTGCTTTTCCAAGATCTTCCAATAAATATTTTATCATTCTAGCTCCATCCATTATCATTAACCCAGTGCCGCAAAGGCTCCCACCTACGGTGGGGTAAGGGGGGTCGGATGTACGCAATCTTACCCCTATACTAAAGCACAAAGAGACTGTTTCCGGATGATCCATGGTGAAAATCGCGTCGAAAATTGCATGGACCGACTGTTGCTTCATAAAAAAAGAAGCACGGACAGTTTAGTGAGCCAGTTTGCTTTATTCCATCATATTTCCATGCCAAAAAATAGTGAGTTTTTGGCTCCATTGCAAATGATGGAAAATATTTTAACATTCTAGCTACTCTAGTTTATTTAATGTTATCATTAACTCTCATACTATTGTTTTGTTTAAGTAAAGTTGAGAAAAATTAGCATTCTAACTTCAATATTTGAAGATATAGATCATTCCTCATGGGAACCATTTCTTGAACATTTAGGGAATGTGGAGTATATTGTGCTACTGTAACACAATATCCAAAAGTTTAAGAACTTACAGAGATATGAGAGAAGGATGGTTATATACTTATGGAGAAGCATCAAAATAAATGTGCAACATACTTACTCGTGGTCATTTATACTTTTAGGAAGACCAACACCAGAATATGTATTGAAATGTGCCCTTCGATGGATTTCGTACACATCAGCACATCTTTTAGCTGCATCCCCATCTTTATCACCTGATGGTAAGTGAGTACAAATGAAACAGAAGAGAGTCTGGTATAGAGACATGCTAACTGATATTGATCCCTGGAATAAAGAATAATTGGCATGTTAAAGAAAGAATTGCAAGCAGCAATTTAAGAATAATAATAATAAGTGAAAAGTTATCAGCTTGAGCAAGAAAATTATGAGTTTTTAAAAATATCCGACATATTTTAGATAATATATAATTAGGACAAAAACATAGACAAAGTGCACAAATCAAAGTAACTATGTTTATTTCCAAAATAGGACTTATTTGATCCTATTAAAATTATAAAACTATCCCAATTAGGAGTGAATGGGTCCTATTTTAGGAAGAAAACAATGGTGGTCCTACTTCTTCACTTAGTCTATGTAAGTGAATGAGTCCTATTTTAGGAAGAAAACAATGGTGGTCCTACTTGTTCACTTTGTCTATGTTTTAGTCCTATTTAAGCAAAAGTATAAAAGTATCCCAATTAGGAGTGAATGAGTCCTATTTTAGGAAGAAAACAATGATGATCCTACTTGTTCACTTTGTCTATGTTTTAGTCTTATTTAAGTAAATTTCTCAAATAGTTACTAGGGAACTAAGCACTGCCATTGAGGGTAATGCACCAAAATTGTACATTTTCAAGCAGTTAACCAGTATACATAACAGAGCATCAGAATAGAAATGTGAACTTTCTGATATTAGCTAAATTCATATCCAGAGTTTGGTTGGTTGAACATAAATTCAATGAACCCCTGCTCGAAGTATAGACGCGTAAATTCATATCCAGGTTCACTGGATGCTCTGACTCTCTGCAAAGATGTCACAGGTCATAGGTGTCTTCCTATGATATTCCTAGAATATTCGGGGAAATGAAGTTTTAAAAGTGGCAATTGAGCAGAGTAACAGACATCATTCCAGATCACACTACTCAATAGAAAATAGCAGCTTTTTACTTTACAGATTGAGAATGTGTGACCTCCCAATTCTATATTTACACCATCATAATTCCCATTCGGCCCATACTTTGCACCAATTGGATCAGTTATATGATCTAAGGAATACCACACATGAGTCATCCACTAGTATACACATCTTTCACTCTATTTTGTCAAACACTGTCCAATACTCTCAATCCCTATTTACACCATCAAATCCATGTAATTTTCGGATGTACTTCTTTTCACATTTTCAGTGTTTCCGCAATCTACTCTCTGTACTAATACACCTACCTCTTGATGGCAAACATGCCCGACCAATGATGAAATCTATCTTTTTCAGTATTACCACACACATATCTAATGATGAAATCTAGATTATATAACTACTGAATCGTACTTGAACATATAAGAGAGAATGCTGCTGTTACACACTGAAACATTGGCTATGTCGCTTATAAAACATTGGCTAATTCAGTGTCTCATTGAATGAGCAAAATGTTTAGTGACACCAATGCAGCAGTAAAGGATAAACTTGATACAAGTAATCAACATTAAATTACATAGAACATGCATAGTAGAAATATCCGGAAACGGCCTCTCTATGCTTTTGTACAGGGGTAAGACTGCGTACATCTGACCCCCCTTACCCCACCGTAGCTGGGAGCCTTTGCGGCACTGGGCTAATGATGATGATGATGCATAGTAGAAATCTGAGAGCTAAAAAAGAACAAACCTTGTTACCTATATAGCCCATTGCGCCTACACCAACTGTAGAAACATTCAGATTCTGTATGTGTTTCCGCAAACTCCTATGGACCCAAATAGTTAAGAAAATACCAACCAGTTGCTTGCTTACTATCCTCACATATGGTGGCCTTCTTTTCAGCTTCATTAAAGACTCGAGGTCCAGTTTTGCGAGTAAAGCCACATCAGGTTGCATTCTATTTTGACCATGTGTGTTTGATTTGATAGAACTGTACACTCCCAAAGACATAAGAGCTCTAAGTGATTTAGTAGCTTTATGGGAAACAGGTCTCTCAAAAGCACATTGAGGTAGAAAATTTAATGGTGGCTCTGGCCAACTCAGGCCAATCTTCTGTACTCCAGTAAGGGTTTCTGTTAACTTCTTGTCATAATAAATTTTATTTTCTTCTAGATTTTCTTCAGAGTCGTCATGTTTTAAGTTATCCAATGATTCCAACCTATCCAACTTCTTTGAGATGGAAAATATTCTCTCAACCCCTGCTCTGACTGGCATGGTAACCTCACAAATACGACTAGATCCGGTTACATCAGCACTGACAATAGGATCATACCCTGACATAGTTAAGTCACTGGCATCAACAAAGTCATTAAATTCTTCAACTAAAGGAACAAATTCCTCCTCGCCATCACTATCAAACTTGGGTGCAATTTCCTCTTCAATATCAGAAAAACTTTCAGATGGATTAAACCTTGATGGAGAAGGGGGGTCACTGCGAGATTTGAACTTCTTCACAGGGGGGGCTTTATTGAGAGTTTCTCGAATAATGTTCTCCCATTTTAGAATAGGGGTGCTATCTTCAGCCCCAAATATATTACCAGCATTTAATGGTATGACTTCCTGAAATCTGTAATTATAAACCGTTTGAAGTTAAAGCAATTATATAGCACTCCCCATAAAAAGTACTCCCTCCTCTCAATTTAATTCACCCGGTTGACCTTGCGCCGAGTTTAAGCAAATGAAATTGTGTGATTGAAATCTATTTTGAAATAAAAGAATCAATATCAAATTCAATTCTTTTCTTACACTGAAATGGGAATATTGTTTAGGGATGGCCAGAAATGAAAAGAGTAAATTAAAAGGGGGTAAGAAAGTAATACTACGTATATGAATTGAATTAACAGTTTGACATGATGTACTCACAACCTAGTGTATCCAGGATATATGTTATACTTATTAGAAGCTGAACATTAATGACTAATAAATTAACAAGGAAATTGAAAAGGAGCCCAAAAGGATATCATCACATATCTTCACATGTAAACTTCAAGAAAATGAAGCACTCAATAAAGATGGTGTTTACCCAAGCACATAAATATCAGCAGGCTTGTCAATATCTAACCAACCATCAAGATCAAGATCATCAGGAGGAACTTTTCCTCCTACATTCCATGTCCCAGTGCATACTCTAGTAAGGCAAACATGAAACATAGTGATTATCATTCAAAGGCTAGCTTAACTAATATAATATAATCATATAATGTTTGGAGAGTGGGATATCCATGTATGCCAAGTTACTCATACCTAATTTCCTTTTTGTTTATATATTGTGCCCTAAAAGTCTCAGACTTTCGTCTTCTTATCCTGATAACAGTTTCTAAGATCCAAAACAAACTTCAAAATGAGAGAAGAAATAAGCAAAATAGAGATAAAAAACGATTCAAGGGGAGAACAACATTAAGCAGTGCTATGAAAACTATTTCACAAATTGTAACAAATAAAGTTAATTTTCAAAACTGCAAATACATATATATTTATGACAAATAGGTATATATGAAAACAGCATTACTGCAGTAGGCAATAACTGGATTTCATTTTTCGTTTCATTTTCTACTTTGACTCAGGTTTGCTAAGATTAAACTCCCATACCAAATTGAACTTAATCAATTTCTTTACTACAAGTTATTTAAAAAGGAAAAATAAAGATCATGGAAAAATATATAAACAAATTCCTAGTCATAAATATAACAGAATAAGAAGCATGATCCATTCCCTAGTAATAATAATTTAATAGTACGTATTAATGAGTAAATATGTCATGGGACTGGAAAAAGCTCTCTTCCATCTAGAACGCACCTAAATTCTGGTAGTAGTTGATAATAAATACTCAGAAATTTTATATAGAAAGGAGTCAAGGACTATCACCGTAAACACAACCATTTGGTTGCTTATATAAGGACAAGTTAAACCACAAAGCTTTATGGGCAAAATTTATCTGAAAATGTAGACATGAACTTTTACCATTCCCGTCAATTTCAACATCGCCTTCTATAGCATCCTTAAGCTGCGACTCCCCTGGCAACTTACAGGCATCTACAAAGCCAGGGAGAATTGAATGTGTAGCAGGGACCAATCACTCCATCGGTTAGGAATCGAGTGAACTCAACAAAAAATGTAAGCAAACCTTGATCGGCATCGGAGTCGGAATCTGATTCGGCATCGGCGCTATAATCGGAACCTTTGCCGCTGATGTTGAGCAGCTTCCGCACCACCACGCGCGGCCAGAAAAGCTGTATGCAGGTACTGCCGAAACGCAATACTTCAGCCCAACTTCTCTGCAATCGGTGCAACAAAGAAATGCAAACTAAAAGCAAGTTCTTTGGGGAAAGGAAAAGAATCATTGAAAACACGAGATATAGAGAGAGGATGTTCACCTCGGCCTGGCGTCGATGCCTTGAACTATGCTTCATATTAAGATATAAAGTGACTGCCCTTAGGGAAGAAAAGTGAAGCGAAGTAGCCCGGGAAATTTGAGCTCAGGAGTCAGCACCTCTCTCCAGTGAAGTCTCTGGCACGAAGTGCGAGGAAAGAAAGATCTGGTGGGTGGGTCAAAAGAGGAAAGTATACTGTAGCTGTTCAAGTCTGTGACTTTGTGATACTCCGTAGTCGTATATGGGAGAAAAAAAGTACCCCACTCATTATTCACTCAATCAATTTCAATTCCCCAAACTTTGTTAGTGTTTTTAATTGGAGTAAAAAAATTTAATTTGATGCGATCTGATTCAATAAATTTGATCTTTATATACTTTATACGAAGTAATTGTTTAAGTTTGATCTATGATAAATATTTGGTCCATATGCATTTTATAAATGTTCATATATGGTATGGTCTGATTTGATCTGATATTGAACAAAAAAAGTACTACCTTCGTCCCATAATTTACTTCCAAAATAAAGTGTCACGCGAATTAAGAAAATGGGAATTGGGGGTGGAGAGTTTTGCAGAGGAGAGAGAAATGTTGTGAACCACAAATTCTTTGACAAAAAAGGAAAGATAAATTCTTTTTGGAACGGACGAAAAGGGAAAGTTGGAAGTATTTTCAGGGACGGAGCGAGTAAAACATCTTTAATAGTCACTAATATATTCACGATTTACATATCTAAATAAGTGCAATCATAATTTTACGTTATGAATATTTCTTTTAACTGACTTTTTGTAAATAATTATAATTCCCAAGAAATGTAAAAAAATGTTTGGTGCATTTTATTAGTTAATTAAAAATTAAAAGCGAACACTACTATTGTTTGGACTTGCACCACGTGTTTATATTGAAATTTCAGGCCATTTAAGGAAAATATATTAGATCCAGTTTTTGTTTTTTGTAAAAGCATTGCTTACAATTTTTTGTAAATCCAATTTTAAAAAAAAGGACGACACCCCATCTTTGAGGATCTCCACCAGTGGGATGATGTAAATCCTCCCAATTTAGTAAACCCAATTTTTACATTTTAGTGGTGATTGTGCAGCTTATACACGTCATTTGTGAAGGTATTTTTGTCAAAAACAATATCATCCCCAGTCACATGCTCACATACGACCACGTGTATAAGGTGTATATGGATTTGGGCTATGTTTGGCACAACGAGCTTAAACTGAAGGCTAAAATCTGAATTAGGGACTATTCTCTTAATTAGAGACTATTATCTGGAGCTGAACTTTGAAGTGCTGAATCTGAACCGTTAGCTGAATCGATCAGAACCGTTTGGCAAAAAGAGCTGAAAAGTGCTGAGATAATATGAAATTACATTAAAGGGTATGAGATTTATTAATAGAATAAAATATTTATTATAATGATTTTTATATATTTAGCTATTATATAATATTTGTGAATTTATACATGTATATAATATAGTAAGAAGTACAATATAATATAACATAACACAATACATTATATTATACTCCGTACTAGGTATATTATAATATGAGAAAATCACGACCTAGAGGAATATGAGGCACCGTTGGAGGCATCTGTCCTCCTCCAGCTTAGCTCTTCTTTCGGTGCTCAGTTATGCTGATAGATGGAGACCAACACAATGGTCATGAGTTGGCCGAAACTGAAATACTCAATATGGGTTGATCCAATCCAGCTTCATCCTCTCTGCAAATTGGGTTAATTGGTCATCAACATTTTCGTAATTGTGATTATAATTTCTTAAAGCAAAAAATAGTTATTTTTTTATCATGGAGTGGGAGCTGCATAAGAGTGGCAGTCGAGGATATTCTTGGGTTGCGAAACTCTGCTTTGCATGGGCAAAATGAAACGCTATGAATGTTGACGTTTGAATTCAATCACCTAATTTCAGCTCAAGTTAGTATCAGCCCTTCTCCCAAACGAGTTTAATGATATTGTAATTAGCTGATATGGGCAAATTCCAGCCGATTGGTAATTTTCCTTGTTTACATATTGCACATGGTAGAGATTGACTCGATTGATGGTGATTGATATACTTAAAATAAATTTAGAACTTTCAAAAATGTTATTGTCGAAATGTTAGATGTTTATTTTAATAGGTTTTCATTTTTAATGCTTATATGCACATTTTTAGCAGTTCTTAGTTAAATGAAATTAAATCGGGAGCACAATTATAAAAGGATACGAATTTGAAATGAAAACCCGTATGAAAAGATAGTGAGATTTCATACCATATTCCGTGTTTGGAGTTAACCCTGAGAGTAACACCTCCTTCCTATGAATTTATGATAAATATATCAAATTTGGATACATTGTGTATTACGGAGTATTATTCACTTATATACAAGGGAAGGATATACGATAGTATAATCTACCAAATAGAAAAGTTAAAAGCAGAGCTACCATATGGAATTTTCCTTTTTTTCGCCTCCACAATTTAAAAGAACTTAATTTGCCATGAATGAAATAAGATTATTAAAATTGAACATCAGCTTATAAAAGAAATAGTGTACATCATCATATGTGCATGGGAGGAAATCATAGTGAGTATGAAACTATGAATAGTTAGGTCAGATTTAGCATGTTTAAACATGCTAAATCTAACATTCTAGGATTGAAATAATTTCAGTTAAATGGGTCCTAATCCAAACTAGAAATCCCAAATGACAAAAAACCAGAGTACCAATCATAAAAAGAAAATGAAAGAGCTAGCCCATTGCAAACACATAACAGTTATCATGAAAGAGGATATAACAGAGAACTTAGGATAACAGCACTTCATTTAACCATGTGTGTAAGAACAACAACAGAGAAAATAACCAGAAACACTCTAAAGCATAATTTATACCCCCTACCCGGAGGAGTCAGGTAGGATGTAGGAGGAGGCACTGAAATCTTGAACTACCCAATAAGTCAAATTAAAATTGTCACAGGAAAAATCTTCTGCGACTGGTATCCATCTCCGGCTTATGAACCCATTCATATTCCCCACCCTTGGTATCAAAGGTACCATGCTGCAGGCTGATTAACTTCAATGTAAAACGAGGACCGCATTCTTGAAGACGGGCTATCACTCTTTCCTGTGCCTCATCCTGTTTCCCTTTCTTCTTCTCAAATATATAACGATGATGGCGGAAGAAGATGAAGTCTCGCTGGTTATGAAAAGTCACAACTCTCCGGCCTCGGAAATTCGGATCTTGTGGGAACAGAGATTGGATCATTCTCCCAACCCGATGGCCCAAACGAGTAGTGAAGTTGGTCAAAACTAGCTCAGGTATGTGACTGGTTGGGTTCCCATGGTTCTTAATGTCCTTGCGCAAGACAAGCCTGGAGAGCTTGAAATGAGCAGTAGGTCCATCCGGTAAACCTATTATGAGCAGAGCATCTGGTTCCCAGCGATTAGTGTGTACAACAATGATGGATGTGAAATCCCTTGTTTTGGCATATTCAACAATCTTTTTTAGGTCATATGTTCCTCGCTTGTGATAATGAGCATTAGGAATAACAGAGAGCAAATTGGATATGAAGGAAGGCCCCCTTATGGATTTCAATCGGGATGTCGTTATCAGTACCTTAGGGATTAGATCTTTTCGAAGCACTCCGCTGAATTCATCCACATCGTTGCTCGCAAAGAGCTCTTCGTCGTCGGGTTTGCACAGTGTCTCGTCGGCCTCCCTTGTGTTCTCTATCGTGCGGGGAATCTTCCTCGCCGGAGGCTCTTCGCCGAGTTCAAGAGCCACTTGTTCAGCAGCATCGCGAGCTTTGGCCTTCTTGTGCTTCTCTACCTTCTTCTCGCGCTTTAGCTTGGCGTGGATGGCCGATCTCTTTTCCTTGTTCTTTATCATAGATGGCCGCAAAGATTCCTTCCTGATTTCCGTCTCACGGTTGGCATCTCTGGAGAAGACCTTTGCTTCTCCTTCCTCATCCTTTTCGCCGCCATCGCTGTACCTCCGTTTCCCCATTGGAGTCGATGGCTGATTGGCTGGTTAGGGAATTCGTTAAACCTAACGGCTCCTCAAATGAATATGCGGACTAAACTTGGACTTTGAACCTCCTTTTTTCTTTTTTTCATAGGGTGTGCGAGCCCAAGGCCCGCAACAACAATACAGACAGCATACCTTAATGGGCTCTCCGTCTTGAAAATACAGAGTTCATATGGCGTGGACCATTGGCCCACAACCCCACATATCATATTGAACTGATAATACTTCCCTCCACTAACATTCAGACATGAGGGGGTAAGACCGTGAGACACTATTAAGAAAAATGAATTTGTATATTTTATATTGAATTGATAAAATAAGAATAAAGTAAGAATGATTTAGAACTACATAAATTTTACCAAATGTCATATAGGACAATATTAATGGAACGGATCGAATGTCAAACTGCATCAACACCAAACTAAATTCGATCTAATTTATATTGAATTATATGTCATTTAAATTGACTTTAATGGAATTTCTTCTAAATCGTACTAGATCGAATCGAATCGGAACTGTTAAAAAGCCATAATAAGTCAAATCGAACTAAAATAGTCAATAAAACTTTAAAAAATAGTATGGTTTTAATATAGTAATCGCTGTTTTAATTTTTTTCAAGTTGAGCTGATTGGAAGTTGATAAGGCTCAAACACAAATTGATATGTGAATCCTGATTTGATAAAAGGGAAAAAGTACAATTATACCAAAATATACCGTTGTAGTATGGGTGGAGAACAATATACTCATGTTTTATTTTTCGTTACAGATATACCCCCTGAAGTATATGTTGAAGTGCATATATACCTCTCAACTTTTTAAAAGTGCAAAAATACCCACCATATTCTTGTAAAGGAACAAATTTATCCTTATTGACTTTATATAAATGAAATTAATTTCAAAGAACACCCAAAATAAATTATAAATTCCAAATTCAAAATAAATATTTTGGCTTCGAATTTAATATTCTAGCTTTACAATTTAAAATAGCTAGAACGATCCTCTACAGTAACATCAGCCATTACAACTAGAAAAGTAACTTCAACCTTATCTTTTCTTATTATTACACAACTCGACGCGCGAAATCAAAAGTTACGTGTTTGGTGAAAAAGTTAGTTGATAAGCCAAAAACAGGGTGACCAAACGGGCTCTCGAGTAATAGTAAAGAAACAAGCGAATGAATGAATAGCCTGATGCTGCAACGGGGTGAGACGTAGAATGGAAAAAGATCCCACATACCCTTCCAAATCATTAACCCTGCAAATAATGTAGTCTAGTTTAACAGACTTGCTACTACAAAGAAAATACAAAATCTATAAAAAATATTCTGGCTCCAACCAACACAAGAAACTCTACCAAGTAAAAATAATAAAAATCATTTGTTTGATCAGTCACAGGAGATCCAATTGAGATGTATCTTTCTCTCATAGTAAGGCGATGGTGGTTCATAAGAGGGTGAATAACTGAGACATGATAGCCATCAATATCGAGAGTCAGCACCCTGGAAAAACTAGGCCGAATAAGTCTATCTTACTAACCATGAGTAACAAAAAAATCATCATTCAATCAGTTACATATAAGAGAAATACACAACTTTTAGACATTGTTAGAAGAGAAACATAATTTATGTTCACGTGAACTAGACAGAACCCGACCGTTCGAATGGAAATCAAAGAAAGACAGAAGCAAAAGAAGGCCTCTGATTCATTGCTTCGCTGTCAATGAGGAGTACCATTGTCAAACTAATAACACATTACTGTCACTTTTTCGAGCTTTAAGAAGATGGTCAGTCTTTACTTTCCATCTATACAAATCCCTAAAGTTCTAAGTTGTTGATGTCTAAGGTCGCCATCTCTACAACCAGTGACGGACCCAGATGTAATACTTGAGATTTAATTTAAACGGATTAATAGTACTGCTCATACCAACAAGATGCATCTCCCTTTAAGGGAGCTCATCACCAAGAACTCCAAAGTTAAGCGTGCTTGCACGGGAGTAGTCTTGGGATGGGGGACCCCCTGAGACGTTTCTCAAGGTGCGCACGAGTGAGGACAAAGTGCGCGTTAAAGGCTCGTGGAGGTTTGTGAGGACAGTACTAGAGGTACGGAGGGTGTGTATGAGTAACTACCTCGGGTCCTGCGCGATCGGGGTGTTACAGGTGGTATTAGAGCAACTCTGCGACAGTGTGGTGATCCATTGGATATCGGGCGGGCACTTAGCAGGGGAAAAATTTTTGGGATATGATTGAGATTGGTTTATGGGCGCAAATTTTCAGGCCCGAAGCGAGGCACGTGCCCCTAGCCCCCCTAGGTCCTCCACTGTCTACAACCATGGATGGGTTCTTTGAAGTTTCTCACCAACGGCCTAATAGGGGAAATAGGTTAAGAAGTTACTCCCTCCGTTCCCAAAAATACTTCCCACTTTCCTTTTTGGGCTGTTCCCAAAAATACTTCCCACTTCCCCCTTTTGGACAATTTGTGTGGCTCACATTCATTTTACCTTTTTCTTACACAACCACAACCATACATTTCCACTTTATTCCACTTTATTGCTCTCAACTTTTTAAAAGTGCAAAAATACCCACCATATTCTTGTAAAGGAACAAATTTATCCTTATTGACTTTATATAAATGAAATTAATTTCAAAGAACACCCAAAATAAATTATAAATTCCAAATTCAAAATAAATATTTTGGCTTCGAATTTAATATTCTAGCTTTACAATTTAAAATAGCTAGAACGATCCTCTACAGTAACATCAGTCATTACAACTAGAAAAGTAACTTCAACCTTATCTTTTCTTATTATTACACAACTCGACGCGCGAAATCAAAAGTTACGTGTTTGGTGAAAAAGTTAGTTGATAAGCCAAAAACAGGGTGACCAAACGGGCTCTCGAGTAATAGTAAAGAAACAAGCGAATGAATGAATAGCCTGATGCTGCAACGGGGTGAGACGTAGAATGGAAAAAGATCCCACATACCCTTCCAAATCATTAACCCTGCAAATAATGTAGTCTAGTTTAACAGACTTGCTACTACAAAGAAAATACAAAAACTATAAAAAATATTCTGGCTCCAACCAACACAAGAAACTCTACCAAGTAGAAATAATATAAATCATTTGTTTGATCAGTCACAGGAGATCCAATTGAGATGTATCTTTCTCTCATAGTAAGGCGATGGTGGTTCATAAGAGGGTGAATAACTGAGGCATGATAGCCATCAATATCGGGAGTCAGCACCCTGGAAAAACTAGGCCGAATAAGTCTATCTTACTAACCATGAGTAACAAAAAAATCATCATCCAATCAGTTACATATAAGAGAAATACACAACTTTTAGACATTGTTAGAAGAGAAACATAATTTATGTTCACGTGAACTAGACAGAACCCGACCGTTCGAATGGAAATCAAAGAAAGACAGAAGCAAAAGAAGGCCTCTGATTCATTGCTTCGCTGTCAATGAGGAGTACCATTGTCAAACTAATAACACATTACAGTCACTTTTTCGAGCTTTAAGAAGATGGTCAGTCTTTACTTTCCATCTATACAAATCCCTAAAGTTCTAAGTTGTTGATGTCTAAGGTCGCCATCTCTACAACCAGTGACGGACCCAGATGTAATACTTGAGATTTAATTTAAACGGATTAATAGTACTGCTCATACCAACAAGATGCATCTCCCTTTAAGGGAGCTCATCACCAAGAACTCCAAAGTTAAGCGTGCTTGCACGGGAGTAGTCTTGGGATGGGTGACCCCCTGAGACGTTTCTCAAGGTGCGCACGAGTGAGGACAAAGTGCGCGTTAAAGGCTCGTGGAGGTTTGTGAGGACAGTACTAGAGGTACGGAGGGTGTGTATGAGTAACTACCTCGGGTCCTGCGCGATCGGGGTGTTACAGGTGGTATTAGAGCAACCCTGCGACAGTGTGGTGATCCATTGGATATCGGGCGGGCACTTAGCAGGGGAAAAATTTTTGGGATAAGATTGAGATTGGTTTATGGGCGCAAATTTTCAGGCCCGAAGCGAGGCACGTGCCCCTAGCCCCCCTAGGTCCTCCACTGTCTACAACCATGGATGGGTTCTTTGAAGTTTCTCACCAACGGCCTAATAGGGGAAATAGGTTAAGAAGTTACTCCCTCCGTTCCCAAAAATACTTCCCACTTTCCTTTTTGGGCTGTTCCCAAAAATACTTCCCACTTTCCCCTTTTGGACAATTTGTGTGGCTCACGTTCATTTTACCTTTTTCTTACACAACCACAACCATACATTTCCACTTTATTCCACTTTCTTAATAAGCGTGCCAAGTCAAACCGGGAAGAATTTTTAGGAACGGAGGGAGTACTTATTTGGACGAATATTAAGATGCAAGGGCGGATGACGTGCAAAAAATTCCACATGTGCATGCTGCATACGTTACATGAGAGAAATAGACACATAATAAATAACCATTCACACCTCTCTTTTTTTCTTTTCACAGTCTCATATAACTTTTATAACATTTTCATAATAATGTCAATCACAATGTCTGCATTTAGACATCCATCTTGGCAACGTGGAAAAAACTTACAAAAATACATAAGACCGTTGAAATAATGAGAGATATATTGTTCATTTGTATATTTAGATGCTTTACAAATTCTAAGTGTGTTAATGTGACGTCTTATTTAGTAAGCTCGTTTAGTTGATTGTTTCAGAATTCAGAATAATGAATTATTATTTGGTTGTTTTTTTGTATTCAAACTTTCGACATATATACTGAAACAATAAGTAATGCTGAAACAACATGAACAAATTACTCCATATAAGAGCATCACCATTCATAATTTATAAAAATCATTTTTTATATGATTCCTACCTTTTAAATATTATTATATAATTAATTTTTAGATAATCGCAAAAACTATTTATATCTCTCGATCATAATCTTCAAGCAATGCACTTTGTTCTAGGTCTTGCATTAACACAGCACATACACTTTTCAAATAATCTTAAATAATCCGGATTAATATTTTGATCCCGGATTATTCTAGTAAACAATCTCATTAAATAATCTGTCACTCAACAATATTTCTCTAAAATATTGTCATATCAAAGATTTAATCTCTTAATAATCGAGGATGCCCTAAGATGAGAAAGGTGAAAAGTATCTTTTTTCAATAACAGCGACCCAAATGTAAAAGAGTTGTACTAGGTGTACACATTTTGATGTGCACATTTTGACGTACATCTTTTGGTTTTGTGTGTGTCAGACCTCACAGAAACGAATACAAAGATGTACACATGTGCACCAAACATTTTTCGATCTAAAAATAGCGATTACAGAACAACTTTAGAAATACTATCGTACTACGTATGTGGATGTCTAAAAAATACTTCATCCGTTCTTAAATAAATGCAACGATAATCATTTCACACTTAACGAGACACAACTTTGACCATTAATATAAATGATTTTGTATTAGTAAAAAAATTTAAAAAAATTTGATTATGAAAATTTACAATGAAACAAGTTTAACAATATTTTTTCATAAAATAATATTATTACATTAATAATTAAAACGTAATCAAAGTAGAATACTTTAATAGCCCTCCATTTATTTAACAAAAGAGGCAGTATTGCCGTTGAGTAGGCACGACCGCACGACTCCACTGAGAGTTCTGTCTGTTGCCGGAGGCAAATCCAGAGAACGACGGACAGAAGAAGCCACAAAGCAGTTCTGGTTTTGAGATCAACAGGGGCACATGAAGTGAGCACCAAACATGCCCTTCCTTCTTAATCTCTGCGAGTGCTCCATTTTCAATCCCACTCATCCACTCTCTCATTTAGCCATAAACAGCATCTCTACCCAATTCCCCGCTCTTTCGATAAGGTTACACCCTCAAAAGCCAACTCTTGGTTATGCTCTAACCCCAGAACCTCACTCCAGGTCTTCCACGAACCTGATTTTTTCAAGTTATTCAGTTCGGAGACTGATTCAGGTAGCTCTTTGCTCTAAAAAGGAAGCATACGACGAATCTAAGAGTACCCATTCGCCTGCCAAGCTTGAAAACGAGGAGATCGCATTACTAGATAAACCAACTCCTAAGCCAATAGATGACCAATCCGAGACAGAAACACAAAAGGAATCTGTAAAACGTAGTAACAAGGAAATCTTGGAGCCTTTTCTTAGGCTCTTAAAGCTCAAGGATTCAGTAGGAGAAAACCCCGTTTCTGAAAGGAGTCTTAAGGAGGGAAATCAAGTAAATGTAGAATATTTTGAGCCTAAACCGGGGGACTTTGTGGTGGGTGTTGTGGTCTCAGGAAATGACAGGAAGCTTGATGTCAACATTGGTGCTGACCAATTGGGGGTGATGCTGACTAAGGATGTGTTGCCATTGAATAGTAAGGAGATGGGAAATTTGCTGTGTGACTTGGAGAAGGATGCTGAGATGATAATGGTGCCAGGGAAGGTGGGAGTTCTGATGAATGATGTGGCCTTCAGTGAGGAGCCAAATCCTGGCAAGCCTGTTGTGGATCTCGGGTGTATCTTGTTTGCTGAGGTTTTAGGAAGAACTCTCAGTGGCCGGCCATTGTTGTCTTCGAGAAAACTCTTTAGACGTCTTGCTTGGCATCGAGTGAGGCAGGTTCTTTTCTCACTTCATTTCCTTTGAAAACATTTTGGATATCAAAAAAGAGAAAAGTGAAACATCTACTGATATAATAATTGAACGTTTGTTCAATTACCAGTAATGCCTTATAACAAGTTACCTTACATGTCATTTTCATTTTGTTGGGTTTTATTTGTCATAATAATCAGTATAGGGTAGATATTTCATAGTTTGATGTACTCATGCATATTTTTATACGGAGTACTAGTTTCTTTAATAGCTTAGATGTGAACTGTTCAATATTTTTATTACTTTTGCTCTTAAGAGAGATTGGCTGTTTACATTTTGAAACACTTCTTGCAGATCAAACACTTCAATCAACCTATTGAGGTCAAGATAACTGAGTGGAACACTGGTGGTCTTTTGACAAGAATAGAGGTGATTTCCCATTGCATACTCTAATTTTTTTCCAACTATCCACTCCAAAATCTCCTTTTATGTAGACTATGATGTCTTAACATAATTATTATGCAGGGTTTGCGTGCTTTTCTTCCAAAGGCTGAACTGGTGAACAGAGTAAACAGTTTCAAAGAGCTGAAGGAGAAGGTAAGTTTGAGTGCATATTTATTCGAGCATTGCTGGTTACATATGGTTCTAAATTACTGGTTGGATGCATTGGCGATTAGCATTTTGTAGAATAGTTGTTCTGATATTATAATCTACCTTAGTACCCTGCGTCTCGCCTCTGGTTGGAGTTTGCTCTCATAATCGTGTGCATACTTTTGCTGCAGGTGGATCGACGGCTACATGTGTTGATTACTAAAATAAATGAAGAAACTAATGACTTAATACTAACTGAGAGGGAAGCTTGGGTTGGTTTTAAATTTTCGTCTGAAAATGCTTTACCTTTTTTCTCTTTAACCTTTTGATTGCCTCATCTAAAATATACTACGTATCATTATATCTGGCTTGGTCATTGATGCAGAACATGCTAAATCTTCAAGAGGGGACACTGTTGGAAGGAACAGTCTGGAAAATATTTTCATATGGTGCACAGATAAAGATAGGTGAAACGAATCGTAGGTGAGTCCAGTTTAGCCCATAATGGTGAGATGGTAACTAAAATATGAAGCAAAGTAATTAGTTGCTAGTAAAATAGACACTTTTCGACTGTTACTCTCTTGAAGAAACACGATATCCAAGTTTGTAACCAGTGTAGAAGAGTCAGGGATAGGAAAAGTTTAGTTTGCCCTTTGAATAACATAAAACTCATTATTACTTCCACCATCCCACAAAAGGGTCTTAATTCTTTAGATTTTGTTGTCTCATAAAAAGTCCTACTTCTTAAAATGAAGATGATTTTTCAAGAAACTTGCCAAAGTAGAGTAACAAGCATGTTTAATATGATAAAATTAGGCTTCATTTTCTGTTTTTTTTCAAACTAAAAACAAAGTTCTAGACCTGAAACTGGTTTTTTTTTGGCAGTTCTCAAAATAATAGTTACCATAATTACAATTATTTTTAGTTCATTATACGACAGTACGACACATATCATATGCCTTTTAAAATCATAAATAAAAAAATAAAAACCGATGGGATACTAAATGAGCCCTTAGTTAAACTATCAAAAGGTTTCTAAATTGTAATTTATGACTATAATATTTGTACTTTTCCTAAAATAAAAACCTGTAGCCTGGTCAAACATAACTCTTTCAATGGGACATACTAGAATGTGTAAGAGCTCATATTGCTTTACCTGTGAAAGTGATACAGTTATATAAGAACATAAGCACATGCTGTATTTTTTCTACAATTATCTAAACTTTGTGCTTACTGCTTGAATGATGCTACTGTAGTAGTACAGAGTGAGAGTGTTTCATTTAGGAAAGGTGGGGCCTTGTACTGCCTATAAGGCTGGATTGATTTGGCGATTTCAAAGGGAAAGGGAGGAGAGATTCTTATTGCATTAGTTTATCTCTATTTATTAGTTATAATCTAAAAATAACTTTATGATTAGTTAGATAATGTATTTCTGAACCCGTTTGGTGACTCTATTTTTCGGCTTATCAGCCAACTTTGTAACCAAACACGTAATTTTTGATTTCGCGCATTGAATAGTGTAATAATAAAAAAATAAGATTGAAGTTACTTTTCTGGCTGTATTGGCTGAAATCACTCTAAATGACTATTTTTGCTATTTTTTCATATAATTTTTTCTTTATTTTATTAATTAAATATATTTTAAATATAATTTTTTCATAAACCAGCAGAATAAGCCATACAGACACTTCAGCTAGAACTTCATAAATTTCAGCAGAATCATCCGATTTTAGTTTTACGAAACGGGCTTTCTTTATACATTTTTTTATCTGCAGTTATTTTTCCAACTTGTAGATGTAGAAATTATTTAAGAAATAAAAATAAATGATCTCCCCTTTCCTTTCCTCCAAGACCCCCCTAACCAAGCAAGCCATTATAGTCATTGAAGCGCTAACGCAGAGCATTTTATCATTTCAAAGTGGGTTACTGCACATCTCGAACATCACCAAAGGCCAAATTTCTTCAGTGAGTGACTTGCTAGCTGTGAATGAGACGATAAAAGTATTGGTTGTGAAGTCTATGTTCCCCGACAAAATATATCTGAGGTAGGCATCCTAAATATGATCTGGCTTTATAGTTTATACTCTTGTTGCTTCTTACATATATGGAAAAGGGGCAAATAAGCCCATGTACTAACCAAAAAAGGTCAAATAAACCCTTATATAGGAGACTCTTTCCGGCTGTCGCCATTTGGGGCAGTTCCTGGTGGAATTTTTTGATGAAATTTATTGAGAATCTTATTCATTAAGTCTAGTTTACTCATACCAAATTTCAGCTAACAATTCAATGGGGAAGACATTCAAATAAATTCTTGAAGATAAATGCGCTTTTAACTGCGCAGTTATCTTCAAGAATTCATTTGAATGCCTTCCCGATTGAATTTTTAGCTGAAATTTGGTATGAGTAAACTAGACTTAATGAATAAGATTCTCAATAAATTTCATCAAAAAATTCCCCCGGAAACCGCCCCAAATGGCGACGGCCGGACAGAGTCTCCTATATAAGGGCTTATTTGACCTTTTTTTGTTAGTACGTGGGCTACATATATTAATAAGATAATAAACGAGGACTCAATTTATCTGGGACACTCTTTGTGAAATGAAGATGCCCCTTTTTCCTTCTTTCACTCTCCAACCAATTGCTATAAAATTGCCGTGACTATCAGAAGTAGTTTTGCTATTTACTTCATTTCATTTTTCAAAAAGATTTAATATTTTCTTTCTGAGAGCATTTATGTGAGCCATATTGCCGTGGCCATAGAAACACTTATTGAAAACGCAAATGAGTAGTTTTGATTAGCCGTAGCTACACTAACAGTCTCCCAAGTCCAAACACTCATAAAAAGTTGATGTCAAAATGTTAAGAGTGCATTTATGCGAGCCATATTAAACATTATTATATTTCTAAAGAAAGGTTGTCGGAGAATCCAAAAGCGGCTGAAAAAGAACAACATAAAATACAAGGATGGAAAAAGAAAAAACAATACAAAAAATTTACGCTTATATTTGCAGGGATGGCAAACATATTTTAGACTTTATGTTTGTCAGATCTTGTAAAATTTGTAAGCTATATTTATTTGATGGATTTTATGGAACACAGTATTGCAGATCTTGAGAGTGAGCCGGGTTTATTTCTATCGAACAAAGAGGTATGTCTGCCTAAGTACATCAGTACATGCCACTAATTTATTATCATCATTGTCATCATCACAATCATCGAAGGGGAGCCTTGGCGCTAAGGTGGTGGGGTCCTTCCCCGGACCCTCGCATTGCAGGGATGCCTTCGTGCACCGGGCTGCCCTTCATCATCATCATCATCATTTTGTTCCCTTTATATTGGTATTGAGGTTGCCATTGTGCAGAAAGTGTTTTGCGAAGCAGACATGATGGCAAAGAAGTACAGGCAGAAGAATATCCCAGCTGCTTCTTCACTGATGGGCAAAACAGAACCCCTCCCAACCAACAACAGTCTTCCATTTGAAGATGGAGAAAAAATGTATGCAAATTGGCAATGGTTCAAATTTCAGAAAGGATAATAAATCAATAATATATTTGGTTTATGAGGATAAATTTGAATTGAATGCACAGCTCCACTATATTGCATGTGTCTCAACTTGTCTGCTGTCACATGCTTACTTTATAAATGGATCTGGAATTTTGACAATCAGTTTAAACTTTAAAACTTTTAAGGATAATCATTTGCATAGGTTGTTTGCACATTATCCTATAAAATGTGATCAATTCACATTTGATGGATGTACTATTTAAAAATATTGATGATCTTTACATCATTTTAAACTATTACGTAGTACATATGTTAATTTTCTTACATTTTTTGATATGTTTTCAGTTCGTGAATAGTTATAGAACTAACGACATTGGAAATAGAGTCATGTTCTCAGTACGTAATGTTCTTACATTACGTATTGATTATACATACTTGTACTAGGGTACTAGAGATATTTCCAATCTAATGCAAGAGTCTGGCAATCACCTTGAATAAAGCAATATGACTCATTGATCCTGTAATGGGTCTAAATGAACCTAACGTGATTAGAGTAAACCTCTCACCACCCCAATCTAATGCAAGAGTCTGGCAAAAATAAACGTACATTACCAACAAAACAACACAAAGATCAAAGTAAGAACACAACCAAGCTAAATCAAAAGTAGAAATAGTCTTCCAAACCCTAGTCGTACAATTCCTACATGGTGGCAGTTCGGGAGGGGGGCGGAACAACACCTTTTCGTCTTCTTTCACCCGTACGAGACCGCCACTCGAGCCCTCACTGTCAATCCCAAACGCATCATGGAAGCCTTGAAGACGCAGCAGCTTCTTCGCTCTCAAGCAACGCACCTTGGTTTCCATCAAGAACACATTCGAAGCCTTGTTCGCGTGCACTATATCGTCGATTCAGCCGCAGAAATCCCCTCCGGACAAGCAACGCCACCGGAACAAACCACTAGGAGGACCCTAGAGACGACCACTTTTCATCCTTGAGGAAGCCCAAAGGATATTCTTGATATTGCTCGAGGTTGCTGTTAGGAAATTGATGTAACGTACCTCGAAAGTACGGCAGCGGAAGTTTAAAATTTTCCCAAACAGATCTTCCCTGATTATGACAAAATAACGAATATGATAATAATAACAGATCTGAGTTATAATTTATAGATCTTCCAGCCTAGCGGTGATAATCATTGACCTTTGATATCTACGTGATTTCTCCTTTCCGAAAGAACGGTTAGATTTCCCTAAGAGAAAGGTTAGGAAATCTCTTCGCAGGGAAATAAACTGGTAATACTAAATCTTAAAACTGGTCTATTAATTATGAAGGATGATGATGTATTTATACTAGTTCTAAACTAGTTTCCTAATCGCAATGAAAATCTTTCTCATTAATGAGTTCTAGTCCTAACAGGACTAATGCTTATTAATGATTTAATCAATTAAATAAAACAAATAATAAACAATATTAATATTAAGGAAGGAGAGGGGCTGCACACGCCACCTCCCTTCTCTTATTATTATTTATTTATTATTCATTTCTTTTAATTCAAAATCAAAAGAAAAAGTCATCTTTATTTAAGTAAAAATGCATCTTAATTAAGTATAATAAATCTAATTTATTTTAATTAATAGATTCTATCAAATAGAACTCTCCTTCAACTTCATGAATTAAATATGTTTAATCTAATTAATATTTAATCTATTTCCAGTATTACAAATTAAATATTATTTAATCCAATTAATATTTAATTCCTTCTAACAATTCAATCGGAAGGTATAATCACTTGTTGTGTGACCCATAGGGCCTTATATATTAAGCACTAATCAAATTAAGGTCTCAGTGAATCCCTAGACGATTCTCCAGACAAACTTAATATATAAGGACGTTTGCGAGGACTATTCAAACTCCCTGTAACATAGAGCTGATAGCGATACGGTCCTTTCATTCAGCGAACATTCAACTAAGTCTAGAACATGATATTGTGTCTATCCCAATAACTCAGTCTCTGTCTCTCAATCTTTCTAGATGACCCATAACGATCATATTCGATATCCAAAACAAATATATCTTTGCATTGACCAATGATTTTATGATCCATCTAGATATGAGAAGTAGAATGTTCTCTCTTAATCTATTATGAGGAATGAATCCTTTCTTGGCTCAACTACTACTTCATGTGCTTCGTGATGCACCCAACACATGCCGTATCTACCCCGATTGGAGTGCAAGCGTTGGTCATGGTCAAAGTACATCACTCCGCACATGTAGTACGTATTGACCTCAAGTCGGAGGACTATTACACTACTCTATACGCCGATAATCTCATATACACATGAATAGAACTTATCAAGTGGTTTCTCGGTGGGTATGCCAATATTCTCTAAAATATCTATGTGACCATCATGAATTACATGAACTCATAGTCGTGAGATAAACTATACTTTCTAAAAGTATGATGCAGTCCACATACCAATCTTATCGCATATCATCAATATCACATTCTTGATGATCATTGATTGGGGCTATTTTAGGACCTTATGTTATATCATATAAGCTCCCACTTACTTATTGACAACATAAATCCAAGGGAACACAATTACGAATAAAACATTGACAATCGAAAACAATCATTCATAAAGTGTAATGCCGTGTATATATCAAATATAAAAACTAAATGTGATCAAGTACATATGTCTTTAAAAAATGATTGTCGCTAGGACATACTCCCTGCGTTCCTAAATAAACTTCCAACTTTCCTTTTTCGTCCGTTCCAATTAAAACTTCCACTTTCTCTTTTTGTTAAAAAATTGTGGTTCACAACATTTCTTACACATTTCTCTCTCCTCTGCACAACTCTCCACCACACAATATCCACTATCTTAAGCTTTGTGCCAAACCCATTTGGAAGTTAAAATGGGAACGGAGGTAGTATATACTAACAGTTGCTACTCTGCTCACCGCCTGCGCCTACAACGTCCGCCGCTTGCCATGCCCGCCCATGGGCGGATCTATGTAGGGCCTAGGGTGGGCTCTAGCCCAGCCCAACCCAATTTTTTTTGTTAGTATAGAAAGAGATTTAATTTTCAGCCCACCCAAAAATTAAAACTCAGCCCACCCAAAAATTAAAACTCAACCCACCCCAAGTCTACAAGGAAGTGTTCTAAGAAGCTCTAAAAGCAAAAGGCTGCCCAAACTTTATTTAAAGCCCATAGTCATGGGAACAAATGATCCCGAGAACAAATGATCCCGATGCGTAATAATAGAGTTTAGTGTGATTGCACCAAGAAGTGATTTATATATATGACACTCAGGAGGGTGAACCATCCTTGCAGTCGGTGTGAGATAAATTGAGGAGCAAAACTTTACATACGGAGTATTAAACAATTGTATGTAGTTGGTGTTTGGAGCCAGCTGCAAATTATGCAATCTCATCTCACCCACTCACCCACACCATCAATGAAAGCACTTTATATTACAACTTTACAATATTATTTTACAACATAAATTTTATGATTAATATTATATTATTATTATAATACTGTTATTATTATATGAATATTACTATTATTTGACCCAAGTCACCATGAGTAACTTTTATAAGCATTAAAATTTAAACATAATTATAATCATTAAAACAACTAAGTTACTCTTTATCAACTATCCTTATTTGGTCATATACTATTTCTACTATTAATAATAATAATATTAATAATAATAATAATAAAATTATAATAGTTTTATTAGTGCATTAGTTTTATTTAATAGTTATGTAATTCTATTTGATTATTAATTTAATTTATGCTCAAACTCGGCTTGAATAAAATAGATATATGAACTCTATTTTTTTAGTGTTCAAATATATTTAAAAAATTGCAATGAAAATGTTTAGATTTTAAGATAAATAAAATTTATTTCTATAATTTACGAGTTATTGATAGACTCGAGTCCGGATCAAACCGAATACCACTATGCTCGAACTCAGCTTGAACAACTATTCGAACTCAAAATCTAGCTCGTATTCGAGTTAAAAAAAGCTTCTTAAGCTCATATCGCTAAATTAAATTCGAAATCACGCTCGAATTCGCGTAGTTCGAAAAAAACTCAATTCGATTACGGCCCTAAGCAGCCTAAGCTAAACTTTTTGTTTGCAATAACAATTTTTTTCCTGCTAAGCCCGCCCCACTCTTCATTCCTGGATCCGCCCCTGTGCCCGCCGCTGTGCGGCTTGCGTCGTTCACACGCCTGCGCTCGCCTCTTGTTTCTTAGTCACATATTAGAAATTTATAAATATTTTAATCACATATAAATAAATTTACCTTATTTTAATTATTTTACGCATTATAGAGATCATTATTTAAATAAAAGTCTCACATGTAATGATTACAAAGAAAAATATACTACGTCTAATGAAAGCGTAGAGTACAACGAATTAATCAATAATAGACAGAAATGTCACACATCCCCCCTTACTATATCTCTTATTTACCAATTAATTGATTGGTAGAAATACGAATAATCATGCAAATAATTCAAACAAGTTCACATACATAGTGTGCTAGTGAAGATAAAATAATAAGTTGAAGTTAGTTATATATATACATCAATTCAATAAGCCTTTTTTATGATACTTCAATTCGTATATGGTTTTGTAAGCACTTTAAAGTATGACAACATTATTATCTTATTTATCTACGGTTTTTACTTGGACTGTAATTTGCTGGTCTGGTCTGATCTGGTCTGGTATGGTCTGAACTGGTCTGGTCTGGTCTGATTTCTTTGTATTTTTATAACTATCCAAGTCTGGTCTGGTCTGAACCGGTCTGGTCTGGTCTGATCTGGTATGATCTGATCTGGGATGAATTACAGTCCAAGTAAAAACATCCTAACTCACCATTATTATTTACAGTTGAGGTATATTATCCCGACCCACTATTGTCAAGAACTCATGACATTATCCCGGTACGGAGTCTGATCAGTTAGACCCCGTTTAGGCCCACTACAGCTTTTCGGTCCATACATTCATACATATACATGTTCATATTTATGTTACTATTTTATGCTGGATTAAACTAAACACTTACGGTACTATTTTAAAAATTAGGTCTACATACAGTTCTTTATTTAATTCTAACTGGAATAAAGATGGCACAATATAATTTCCTAGCAAGACGTACGTACACGAGCTAAAGTTCAAACCATGTTTTATATTCTCGAATACCATTATTAAATCTCGTATGTCACGGTATGTATATAGTAAATCAATATAGCTCTTATCTTTTGTATGGTGCACCATTCACCAATCATTATATATATATATATATATATATATATATATATATATATATATATATATATATATATATATATATATATATATATATATATATATATATATATATATGTTTTGGTTCAAATAAGAACCTGATCTGAGGAGAGAAATGAGAACGAATCTGGATCGTTAGATTTGCTTTAAGTGAAATTCAATATGCATTAGATGAAACTGTAATGTGCATTAGGTGAAATTGAAATGTGCAACACAAAACGTATGATACAATGTCATTAATTTAAGCTGAATTGTGCATTAGGTGAAATTGAAATGTGCACTAGGTGAAACTGAAATGTGCAGAATAAAATGTACGATGTGATGTTATTTTTGTACATTTTATTCCGCACATTTCAGTTTCACCTAATGCACAATTGAGTTTAAATTTTTATTCTGTACATTTCAGTATCATGTAATACACATTTCAGTTTCATCAAATGCACATTTCTGTTCCACATAATACAATCTAACGGTTCAGATTCGTTCTTATTTCTCTCCCGCGGGTGTGTTCTTACCGGAATCGCTCCATATATATATACACACATGTGTATATATATATACACATGTATATATATATATATATATATATATATATATATATATATATATATATATATATATATACACATGTATATATACATATACATCTATATATACATATACATCTATACATACACATATACATATATACATATACACATATACATATATACATATACATATACATATATACATATACATATATATATATATATATATACATACATATATATATATATATATACATACATATATATATATATATACATACATATATATATATATATACACATATATATATATATATATATATATACATATATATATATATATATATATATATATATATATATATATATATATATATATATACACACACATATATATATATAGCTTCCCACGTACCACACCTAAGATAGTAAATGCATTGAATGTATCCAATATATGCACTCATATACTACGTGCTTGCTATTTCATAAGCTCGCCCTAATCACGTGTTAAGATGTTGCTTACTTCCTCTATTTTTTGCCAAGAAATTACCACTAAGAATCATAACATCAATTAATTAATTAATTTAAATTCATTGTACATTTGCACTCTAAGAGCATCTACATTCATGATCTCTAACGACTCTAAGAGCATCTCCATTTAAAATAAATGATTTTTCGATTACATGTCATTGGTACATCACATTTATTCCATAAATCTGAAATAATCTCAAGTCTTAAAATTCTTCATCAACCATGATACTCAAATAATTAGATATTCTAGATCATGCATTAAATGCATTTTAACTACAATCTAAAATAATCCGGGATTCAAATTTTGATACTGGATTTTCTTTTTCAATAATCTCTCCAAATAATCTCTCACTCACAATGATGATCTGTAAAACAATCTTACACATCATCCAATTAAACTTTAAATAATCTCATGGATGGGGATGCCCTAATAATCAACTTTTTCTAGGATTCTTACCATTTAAATATTGTTATGTAATTAATTATAAAATAATCTCAAAATTCGTTTATGTCTCTCAATCATCATCTTCAAATAATCTATTTTTTCTCTGTTCTGCATTAATCTCTATTGCATATACTTTTCAAATAATCTTAAAATAATCCAGATTCATATTTTGATCCCAAATTATTGTAGCAAATAATCTTATTAAATAATCTATGACACTCAATGATAATTTTCTAAAAAAACTGTCATGTCATCAATTTAATCTCATAATAATCCTCCCAATGAGGATGCCCTAAAGAACATGTCACACCCCAATTGAATGTTGACCTTTAATATAAAACAAATGCAATAATAGTAGTGTTTGAAATACAACGTTTCAGCAAATAAGTAAAAACGCTAGTTAGTAAATAATTGTTAGGCCCACATTTTAAAAAGGGAACGCTCAAATGGAAAAGCTGAAATGGAAACACCGCAAATATGATAGTTCAGCTCTAACTGTTTGAAATATGATACTTTCTACTAATTGTTATGATCAAACAATTAAATTATCAAATATTTTCTGACTATCCGTCAACTTAATTGGTTTACTAGTCAAATCAGCTGATAGTTAAATTATCAAATATTTTCTAACATAATTCGCTAACATCTAAATGTGAGACACACCTAATAAGTTAAAAGAGACGATTAAAAACTGTGATGTGGTTTTATTTTTGGTAAAAACTTTTTCCAATACAATTCAACCCAATCCAATATTATGTTCTAGGCATAATATGATATATGATACTGGGTGGCTAACTGGCCGGCTAAGGGCTTTTTCCGGCGAGAGTGTTTTCCAGTTGCCGGAGTGAGTCCAACCAGCACTGTTTTAATTTGGATTTTGGAATATACACTTTGATAAGCAGAAAAGAATTGTTCTGTTGCAAAGAAGACAATTTTGTCACCCTGCATGGGCGTTATTCAAACCCAATCAACTGTATAGTTGAAGTACTTCCTTCTTGCATATGCATGTTGTCCCCTAAAGTTTGACTTTTTTCTCCGCCACCACCACCTCCTTCTCCTCCATCCCCGCCACCATTTCTCATTTTCTCCGAAAGATAATCTTTTCCTTAACTCTCACTGCTATCCACTCTCAGACCTGAGAAAATGGAGAGATCAAGAACTAGTAGAACACATCATCACTGTTCACATTTTTTCTTGTTTTTCTTGATTGTAAATTTGAGATATTGCTGTTTTAGAACAGTGGAGTCTCTTTCCCCTGATGGAGAAGCTCTGCTATCTCTTCTCAAATCAGCACCATCTTCTGCTCTCCCATCCTGGAACCCCTCAACACCAACTCCATGTTCTTGGAAGGGCATCACTTGCTCCCCACAAGGAAGAGTTATTTCCCTTTCTATCCCCAACACTTTCCTCAATCTTTCATCTTTGCCCCCTCAGCTCTCCTCCATTTCATCCCTTCAGTCTCTCAACCTTTCCTCATCCAACATCTCAGGCTCAATCCCTCCATCTTTTGGCGAGTTGACTCATCTCAGACTTCTAGACCTCTCTTCCAACTCACTCACTGGAACTATTCCATTGGAGCTGGGAAAGCTCAGATCACTCCAGTTCCTGTTCTTGAACTCAAACAGGTTGACAGGTCAAATCCCATTTCAGCTAGCGAATCTCTTATCCCTGCAGATCCTCTGTGTCCAGGATAATTATCTTAATGAGTCGGTTCCTTCACAGTTGGGCTCATTGATATCGCTCCAGCAGTTCAGGATTGGAGGGAACCCCTATTTAACAGGGGAGATACCTCCAGAGTTAGGGTCTCTCACGAATCTGACAATGTTTGGGGCGGCTGCCACCGGACTCTCCGGCGTCATTCCGCCGACGTTTGGGAATTTGAAGAGGCTTCAGACATTATCACTCTATGATAGTGATGTGTTTGGCCCAATACCGCCTGAACTGGGAATGTGTGGAGATTTGACGAGCTTGTATCTGCACATGAACAATCTCTCTGGTTCAATACCCCCACAATTGGGGAAACTGAAAAAGCTCACCAGTTTGCTTCTATGGGGAAATTCACTCACTGGGCCGATCCCAGCCGACCTTTCAAACTGTTCCTCACTTACGGTTCTTGATGTTTCTGCCAATGATTTATCCGGCGAGATTCCGGCTGACTTGGGAAAGCTAACTGCTCTTGAGCAGCTCCACTTGTCTGATAATGGATTGACCGGGTCTATTCCGTGGCAAATCAGTAATTGCTCTAGCTTGATCACTCTTCAACTTGACAAGAACAAGTTATCTGGATCAATCCCCCCGGAAGTGGGGAAGTTGAAAAATTTGCAAAGCTTTTTACTTTGGGCAAATTCGGTTTCTGGAACCATTCCGAGTTCTTTTGGAAATTGTAGTGAGCTTTATGCACTTGATCTCTCCAGGAACAAGCTTACAGGAACCATCCCGGATGAGATCTTTAACCTGGCCAAGCTGAGTAAGTTATTACTTTTAGGTAATTCATTGACCGGAGGGTTGACTAGTAGTGTTTCCAGATGCCAGTCACTTGTGAGGCTGAGGCTCAGTGAAAACCAGCTCTCTGGACAGATCCCAAAGGAGCTGGGGCAGTTGGAGAATCTTGTATTTCTTGATCTTTACATGAACCACTTTTCCGGCAGCCTGCCCGCTGAGATCTCCAGCATCACAGTTCTTGAGCTCTTGGACGCCCATAACAATTACCTGACTGGTCCAATTCCGTCACAGTTGGGGGAGCTCGTGAACTTGGAGCAGCTTGATCTGAGCATGAACAGCTTTTCTGGTGAGATTCCTTGGAGTATAGGTAACCTCAGTTACTTGAACAAGCTCAATCTTAACAATAACCTCCTCATAGGTTTAATCCCGAAGTCTCTTAGAAACATGGAGAAACTAACTCTGTTAGATTTGAGCTCCAATGGCCTTTCCGGATTTATTCCCCCTGAGATTGGTTATATGACAAGCCTAACAATCAGTTTGGATTTGAGTTCGAACCGTTTCACTGGAGAAATCCCAGAAACGTTTTCCGGTTTGACCCAACTCCAATCGCTCGACCTCTCACACAACATGATTACCGGGAGAATTACAACGCTAAGCCTCCTTACTAGCCTCACTTTCCTAAACGTGTCTTACAATAATTTATCGGGCCCCATTCCCGTGACACCGTTCTTTAGAACTCTAACCATGAGCTCTTTGTATGAAAACCCTAGCCTTTGTGAATCCAGTGATGGCTTTTCTTGTTCTTCCTCCCATCTGAATGGAAGGAGCAGTTTTGGCTTGGGCCGGACCACTGTTTTGGTCTTAGTTGTCGTTTTGACTTCTGTAGCCTTGGCAGTTGCAGCAATGTGGGTTGTTGTTACTAGGACTTACCGTAGCTCTGACGGGGATAATGTTTTTTCCTATCCATGGACTTTCATACCATTTCAAAAGCTCAATTTTAGCATTGAAAACATCCTGGACTGCTTGAAAGAGGAAAACGTTATAGGGAAAGGATTCTCTGGTGTGGTATACAGAGCAGAAATGCCAAACGGGGAGTTGATTGCAGTTAAGAAGCTTTGGAAGACAAATAAAGATGACGAAGAACGTATGCAAGGCTACTTCGCTGCAGAGATTCAAATCCTTGGGCATATTAGGCACAGGAACATAGTGAAACTGGTGGGGTATTGCTCCAACAAGAGCACAAAGATTCTTCTCTACAATTACATTTCGAATGGAAATTTACAACAGCTGTTGGAAAGCAATAGGAACTTGGACTGGGAAACGAGGTATAAGATTGCCGTTGGATCAGCTCAAGGCCTTGCGTATCTCCACCATGACTGTGTTCCCGCCATTCTTCATAGAGATGTCAAATGTAATAACATACTCTTAGATTCGAAGTACGAGCCTTATATTGCAGATTTCGGCCTTGCAAAGCTAATGAGTTCTCCAAATTATCAGCAAGCAATTTCCAAAGTTGCAGGTTCTTATGGATACATAGCTCCAGGCAAGTTTTTCTATGCTTATGTTCATATCATTCAAAAAAAGGAAACTATTTGAGTAAGACTTTTTATTAGGCTATTATAGTTAATGAATGGTCACTGATATATCCCTAAAACTTATTTTCAAGATTATTTGGAATACTTAACTACTTCCTTTGTCCCTTTTTATTGGAGTAATACTTCTGTGTTTATTGTAATGTTTACAAACACTACACTGACCTTAACTATATTGTAAAAGAAATTAACTTAACTGATTGGAAATAGCATAATTTGAAAAAAAAAACCGCATTGCAGTCCAAGAGTCCATATATTAACAATAATATGAGAATTTGAGAATATATTATGATTGATAATAGGAACAAATTGAGAATAGATTATGGGAGACTTCTGTCAAAATATGAGTTTGAGCAAATTGATTCTTTAAAATCTTAATTTAAAATTTTGAGTATGATGTGTTTTCCCTCCTAAAGATTTTTGTGTAAAGCTGGACTGTAATGCAAGTAGGTTAACTTTTGTGTAAGTTGTCTACTCCCTGTACTTTTGTCTAGAAGTAAACCTACTGTTATTCCTGCAAGTACATTGTATTTTCCATTTTTTCTGCTTCCCGTCATTTTAAATCAAGGGAAAATTTATCCAAACAACTACAAATACTCCCTTCTGGTCTTCTTATTCCTTGTGCTAGTCAACATTGGCTAAGTAAAAGGGGACGAGGGAGTATAAATTTTTAGTACAAATATGTTTTCAAAGAAAATATTGTCACTTTTGGTCCAAAGAGCATTAGAATTGGACATTTTCGGCCTCATGTGATCTAATAGTCACGGGATAACTAAGGCCAGATTTCTCGGGATGATATGTGTGTGCTTTCTACATTGTTATGATATCATTGCGGAACGGCTAACAGATACGAATTCTGAAATTCAGATATAAGATTGTGAACTACTCTTATCAAAAGCGACGTTTCAGTATAGACCACCAAGTTTTTTAATTTTCCTTTCAAGTTACACTACACAAATTGTCTAAATTTGCATATTAAGATTGTGATGGCAAATTGGTGGTTTGTTTTGAAGTGCAGAATATGGATACACTATGAACATAACAGAGAAGAGCGATGTGTATAGCTACGGAGTGGTTTTGCTGGAAATACTGAGCGGGCGAAGTGCAGTTGAGTCACATGTCGCTGGGGACGGGCTTCACATTGTCGAGTGGGTGAAGAAGAAAATGGGAAGCTTTGAACCCGCGGTCACCGTTTTGGATTCAAAGCTTCAAGGAATGCCTGACCAAACGGTGCAAGAAATGCTGCAAACGCTGGGAATAGCCATGTTCTGCGTGAATTCATCCCCGGGTGAACGTCCCACAATGAAGGAAGTGGTTGCACTTCTGAGGGAAGTGAAGAGTCCTGTTGAGGAAGTCGTCAAAACTTCCCAACCTCTTCTTACAAAGGAGACGCACTCAACCACTACTACTAGTCATCATTAGAGTTGGCTCATTTGTGGCAGAGGGAGTTCCTTTTTAGTGTTTCTGCAATCCTCTGCTGTTTTTAGATGATGGGGGAGAAAAGTTCAACAACTTCTACCTTTGTAGTTTGTATAACGTTAGGCTTGAGTTTTGTATGTACAGATTTAGAGTTTGCATATAGGAACAATTTGGGCGGCGTCTATTGTATTGCTTACAGCATCAAAGGCAAAAATGTCAACAGTGCATTTGACACGTGAAAGATAGATATATAAAAATAATAATAAATACAATATCTTCCCTTGTCTTAATGATCTTATATACAACTTGTCTGTTGGGGACAGACATGTGTACACAAAAGGTGTACACATTTGGTGTACACCACACATTTTTCTTATTTTATTTATAGTTCTCCCCGTATATAAAATCAGAGTAAGTCGTGGAAAAAGATACAGAGATAAATATCTTTGTTTTAATTTTATCCCTTTATCCCTCAGAGTCTCAGATTACTATACTATGCATCATGCATTTTATTGTTTTGAAGATACTTTTAACCCATTACACTGTGCTCTCACTTTTAAATCTCTCAACACTTTACGTTTATATCTTCGAAATTATTGGAGCTATGATTGTAACATAGGCAATTTGCAAAATAAGATTCTTCCAATTCTATAAGAAGATTTTTTAATCATTTTCAGGATGGGTTTATTCCCTTTTTAGCATAATACAAGAATATTTATTTTAAGAAAAAATATTTTTTGCAACAAAGAAAGTATTATCGTAAATACGAGTAGAACATGTATTATGTGCATACATATATCAGATCATATCTTTATTTTATACTAAAATCGGATCCTTTGGTCCTAAAGAAATAATAGAGGTAGTTATTTTTTGTAGGATTAATTAGCTTCTACATTTGTAATTTGTATAACGTTTGAGTTTTGTATATACAACTTTAGAGCTTACATTTAAGAACAATTTGCGCAGTGTTTATTGCACTGCATCTCGAATGCAAAACTGTAAACGGTGCATGCATTTGACACATGAAAGATAGATACACAAATAAAATATGTTGAAATAAAGTAGATTGACTCATTAAAATGTCTGCGCTTCTTTATTATGACGCAAGAATCTGATAAGTCCATGCAACTTTTGACGCCTTTTCAGCATGTACCATCGGAAACAGTCTCTATGTACTTTAGTAGAGGGATATGACTGCGTACATTCGACCCCCTACTCCATCATAGGTGGAAATCTTTGCGACACTGAGGTAATAATGATGATGAATAAATAAAATATCTATCTTTATTTGAACAATCTTATATGTTTGTGTTAGCTTTTTCTCCACAATGTAAGCACAACACCTATATGTAACATTGTGGAAAGAGAAAGAGAGAAATGCATGTGTGCACAGAAAAATATTTCTTATTGGCTAAGAAAAGATTGGCTCAAAAAAGATTAAACAAGTCTTATTTTTTGGGTCCTAAAAAAAAGATTTCACGTAAACTCTGGCTCAGTACATGTGGTTTATCAAAGCGACGGTTATTCGAGTGAGCACACAAGCCAACATTTGGTTGGGATGGAAATTCATGTCAAATCTTTGCAAAATCCCACACAATTGTATTTTCATATTTTTTGATATTGTTGTCGTCCTTTTTATTTAAATGTATAACTAATAGTCTCACTAGAAATTATTTTTTTCCCTGATTTTATACATAATAAAGAACTTTGCGGTCATCAAAAGCACAAAAATGAACAACCGTTGTCCGTTGATAGGGGTGGAGACGGTGAGTCTTGCGCTGAAGATGGATGTTGGCGCCATTGTAGTGGAAGCTACAGTTATCATCAGACCGTCATTATTGATAATCGATGAATCCCTTCTGATCCGATTTGTCGTTTTCCCAAATCTTTTCAAAAGAAATTCTTACGGGAGAAACCGACAACAATACATGTCATATTTGCTCATTGGGAGACATCAGCCTCTAACATCAACTTCCTCACATGATCTAGAGTTAACAAAGAGAATGACTGAGTTACTTTTATCTTCCCGTTTCAAGCTTTACTCTTTCTAATGAGATATGTCGATTGTCTAGATTCTAACTGAGTATGTTTGTGTGTGTATGCAAACACTGGTTTTTTAATCAGTGTCTGTGTGCCCAAACAAAATTGTTATGAAACAAACGAGAAATGTACAAATTATTTGTGCGCAGACAACTAAATGTCTGTTGATTTTCGTGCATCAAACGCTGTCATGCCTGCCATATAGCACGGAACCCAATGTTCGTGTACATATTGTATGTACACAAACAATTTATATTTTTTTTTGTATTGAACAATTTTGTCTGTGTGTCCAGACAAATTGTTGAGCACAGACGAAAAATGTAAAAATTGTCTGTATACAGACAACTAAATATCTGTGCACGGACATTGGTTTCTGTGCGACCAAACTCTGGCGTTTCTGCGACATGACACACAAACAATGTCTGTGCACAAACATTAGTTATGTGTACTCAGAAAATTTGTATATTTTTTGTCTGTGTTTAATAATGTTGTCTGTGTACAAAAACAATGGAAAAAAGCGTGTCTGTAAACACAGATAAAAAATCCTGTGAATGTTCATGTATAATTTTCCGGCGACTTTAATTCCGACGACTCAAACTTTTTGTTTCCAAATTGACTCTAAAAGATGATAATGATATAGATGATGCGGTGATGGATATGGAAGATGGCGAAGATCGAAGATGATGAATGTGAGGTGAGATAAATGAAAGTGGAAGATGATGAAGATGATGAAGATGGAAATGTAGTGAAGAAGATGGACAGATGGTGAAACCGTAAAGGTAGATGTGAATGTGATGAAAATGAGGGAAAAGAAGAGAAAGTGGAGGAAGTGTTGGTATAGTTGAGACTTGAGAGGGGAAAGAGAGGGTAAAAAAGTGGGGGTTTATATAGAGTGTGGGGAGTGTGTGCAATATTTGTGTACAAGTAAATGAGGTTTGTAATTACAACAAATATTGTTATGTTAAATACTGTTATGATTGAAGAATACTGACATTAATTATAATAAATATTGTCATGTTAAATACACTGTACTGTAGCTATTTGACAGTCACACCTACGATATACAGTAAATACTATCATGTTAATCCTATTTAAGAAATAAAAATATACTAATCATATTTTGAAATTCCAAACACAATTACTCTTCATTTATGAAATCTCCCTATTTTATTTTATGAGCCGACGGGTCAGATGAGGCAAGCATTATACAGTCCCTTATCTGGATTTAATAACCCGACCCGTTTAACTCCATATGCTCGTTGCTGAGATTGATGAAGAATCGAATGAAAAATCGAATTTTCAATCCAAGAAGAATTAAAGAAGAATGAGCTGTGCAACAGTAATGGCGAAAATGGGAGCTTCAGGCAGAGCATTGCTGGGTTTCTCCTCATTTCTCCCCTTAACAGCCAAACGTCTCTCTTTTCTCAGACCCTCTTACGCTCTACGCTTAAACCCGCACAGGGTTTTGCAAAGGTTTAGACCCCTCTGCTCCGCCGCCGCAACATATACCGCCGAGGAGGATGCATTACAGCCGGCAAAGCACAGCCTGTTATTGGAAAGGCTCAGACTTAGACACCTCAAACACTCTGCAAAAGCAGATGTCACGCATCCAGTTAATGGATTAAAGGGTGTGAAGGAGAATGATCATGAGGAGGTTACTAGGAAAACCGGGAAGCAGAAAGTTGTGGCTGCTTCGAGTTTTCAGGAGTTAGGGTTGAGTGAAGAGGTTATGGGGGCTTTGGGAGAAATGGGTATATCTTCGCCCACTGAGATTCAGACTATTGGGATACCTGCTGTGCTTTATGGTAAAAGTGTGGTGTTGGGTTCGCACACTGGTTCTGGAAAGACTCTTGCTTACCTTTTGCCGATGGTTCAAGTAAGCTTCCACCACTGCACTTCTTTTTGTTCATGTTGTTTTTTTATTTTATTTTATGATCTTCCTCTCAATCAATTATATCATTTCCTGTTTCTTTTCGTGAACTTTCAGTTAGTTAGTCCATTTGTTTCTGCTGTTGTACAAAAGAGCAATAATTTCTTTTTAGTGTTTGGGATGGGGAAAGTTTTGCTTATCATTATGCTTAGATTGTGGAGCAATCACCATAAGAGGTTTTTTGTAAATGAAAAAGTAATACTTAGAGCTTTAAGTTGCTGTATTTGGTAAGCATAACCCACAAGCATATTTAGAGAAACTATGTATATAAGTGTAATTTATATTTCCTGTTTTACTATATTCAATTAAACTATCCATTCAGAGTATTTTTTTAGAACATTCTATTGGATCTTTTGAAAGTTAAAGAAAAGCACTTAGCTCGTGAATAAAAGAATGACAAATGAAATATACCCTAATATGCTATGAACACAATGGTTATTTGTCAATAGGTGATAGGAAACCATTATAATCATTAAAAATATAAAACTCATTATGCATTAATGTTAAAGAGTTGAAGTTATTCACCACCACCCTGTCATTTGAGGCTTTACCGTAATGTTGCATTTGCAATGGTATACCTGACGTCCTGACTATACCACTTTTCACATGTTGCTTTCTACAAAAAGTATAATAACAATAATAATGTTATGTTATTTGCTGCTTTTAGTTGCTGAGAAGAGATGAGGAATTAAATGGCATCCTAATGAAACCAAGACGACCTCGAGTTGTTGTTCTTTGTCCCACACGGGAGTTATGTGAACAGGTTTATTCAGTTTGATGTGTATTTTGATTTTCTTTTTTCAAGATTCTAACACCTTTATTCAACATTTAAAGAACTCAAAACCATATTTTTTATGCTGGCTGTAGGTTTTCCGGGTTGCAAAATCCATCAGCCATCATGCACGGTTCAGATCCACCATGGTAAGTGGTGGTGGGCGTTTAAGGCCTCAGGAAGATTCCTTGAATGGCCCAATTGACATGGTTGTTGGAACCCCTGGCAGAGTGCTTCAACACATTGAGGATGGAAATATGGTTTATGGGGACATTAAATACTTGGTAAGTATTATGTATTTAATATACATTTCTTCAGTGCTGGCTGTTTCCTCATTTCTCTAGTTATTCTGTTATTCAATCCAATCTTTATATAACATTGGAAGTACTACTTGATTTCATTTTTCAGAACAAATTTTGCTGTTAATTTATGTAAACAGGTGTTGGATGAGGCTGATACTATGTTTGATCGTGGTTTTGGTCCGGACATCCGCAAGTTTCTGGGACCATTGAAATCACGTACTGCTAAATCCGACGATCAAGGATTTCAAACTGTCTTGGTAACTGCAACCATGACAAAGGTCTGCCTTATTGAGTTACATGGTTATCCTTTTAATTGTAGGCCGGTGTGCGTTATAATAGCAGAGGATAGTCAGTTTGGTTATCAGGCAGAAAATCATGACTCCCTATGTCCCGAAAAGGTTCGCCAAATTGACTTTTCTTGGTCAATGACAATCAACTTTGACCAATGCTATTTTTTAATACGAAATTATTTTTAATATGAAAATTATATCAATATATTCCTTATTCAAAATATTTTCATAAAAGTATAAAATTTATAAATTATATATGAATATAATAATTAAAATCATTGTCCAAATTTTACCATCATTGACCAAGAAAAGTCAATATGGCGAACCTTTTCGGGACGGAGGTAGTATTTTAGTGTTTTTTTATTCAAATTCTAGCAAAGTCACATCACTTATTTGGAGCCCCTATGTATGTATAAACACAGAGCTAAATAGAGAAGAATTTCCCCCATGTTTTGCTCTTTGTTATGTTCTTGATGAGCTGGGAGAAGGGAAGAACATAAGAAGTAGACATAGATGTAAGGAGGCAGATTTTTATGATTTGAGGAAGATTCAAATTTCTTTATTTTTTACAGTCCACTCTAAGGACTAAACTTTTAGGCTATATTTGTTTTAGGGAATATTTTAGGTAAATGACAGAAGAGGCTAAGGAAATGTTGCAGGTCAGGATTTACCTCAAAAAACTTAAATATCTTAAAGCAATTAATTAATATCTTAAAGCTTACATATATTTTTTTGGGTGGTTGACGCTTGGTATTTTTCCTCAACATTTTGATTAGTTCCAAATTTCTCCTCCTTTTACTCTATTTTCTTTCCCTGGCATTTTCCACGATTTTTAAATGGAGGCATTTATGTATACTTCAGTTATATTTGTCGGAGAAGATGGATTTTGATTATCTTTTGTATAAAAATTTCAGGCAGTTCAAAAGCTAGTTGATGAGGAGTTCCAAGGCATCGAGCACTTGCGTACTTCTTCATTGCATAAAAAGATTGCATCTGCCCGGCATGATTTCATCAAACTTTCAGGTCCAGAGAACAAGTTGGAGGCATTATTGCAGGTCTATTCTTATTTGTGTCCTGTGCATATTTACTCCCCTCTCAGTCATTGCCAATTGATCAAAATATAGATCTTCCGTTTTGTCTGAATTTCAACTGTTTGACTTTCACTTTTCCCAACAAACCATTTTGGCCTTCAATATAGCTGGTATTTAATTGTCAATTAATAAAGTTTTTTGAAAATATATGTAATGACAAATATTTCAACATTTAAAAAATAAATTTTGCTTTTATAATTAATAAAAAATATGTTTGAAGTAGGATATTTGAATAGTATCAAATTCAAACAGTTGCCATTAATATTGAACAGAGGAAGTATTGGAAATTTCAATTTAGATTATTTATTTGTTTGTTTGTTTGTTTGTTTTCAAATAACTATTGTTGGGGAAGATGCATGGAAGAGGTTGATAGGATCCTAGGCTGAAGAGAATAATAATAAGAATATTAGAATAATATTAAATAATTGTGATGGTATATTAGAGGTCTTGGACCAGGTACTAGTTAACTTTGGGCTGGCCCATAAATAAGAGTATAAATAGAATGGAGGGAGAAATAAGAAGGCAGGCAGAACTTGGAACTTTGGGCTGGGACTGGGAGTGCGAGACTACTCTAAGTGTCTCAATTGTCTTTTCCTTCTTTCCGTTCTTCTGCTTTGTACGTGAACTACTCTCGTCTGCCATTGTAATAGCTTCAGGACTCCCATTTCCTGAGATGATATACAGTCAATTGTCTGGTTCCTATCAGAGGTGTAGTTATTTATCTGATGCCCAAGATTTTGTTGGCAGGTACTTGAGCCAAGTTTAGACAAGGGAAACAAAGTAATGGTCTTCTGCAATACATTGAACTCCAGTCGAGCCGTTGACCATTTTCTGAGTGAGAATCAAATTTCAACTGTCAACTACCATGGAGAAGTTCCCGCAGAGCAAAGGGTTGTGAACCTAGGGAAGTTCAAGAGCGAGGAGGGTGATTGCCCAACCCTGGTCTGCACAGACTTGGCTGCTAGGGGACTAGACCTTGATGTGGATCATGTCATCATGTTTGATTTTCCTTTAAACTCGGTACGCCATCACTTTCATTTTGGTGCTCTTCTTCATATTCTACTTTTTTCTCTGGGGAGAGTTACTAGAAAGCCTAACCCCTCCCTCCCCTGCTCCACTATTCTACCTCTTAGATTGATTACCTACATCGGACAGGAAGAACTGCTCGCATGGGTGCCAAAGGTAAAATTCTCGTCTTCTAGAGTATTCCTAAATAACCACGTATATGTGTGTGCTTGTATGCATGGGTGTGTAAAAGACACTTAGGTTTGTGTGTGTACAGTTAGAGATTTTCGAAATGCCTCATTTTTTTACTTAGGTAGGTACTTAGGTTAAGTGTGTGTTTGTCATGATGAGCTGAAACCCTGAAAGTTAACAGTGGCCTGTGATTGTGGTAAGAGAGTTTGATAAAATTAGTTGTTAAGTACCTTATATGTGTAAAAGATATAAAATGACTTGAATTAGTGAAACAGTTTGCAAACTATACCGTGCAATTGGATGTACGACTGTATGTATAGCCAGTGACATGTGTGTAATTTACTTGACAGTTGTTTTTTCATTCTAAATGATGCTCATTGTCTTTTAAGCCTGCTTGGTGTTGCTTGTGTTCATGCTTGTTATTATTCTAATCATTTTCTTCTAAAGGATGCTCATTCATATTGTTGGATGTACGATTATCATGGTACATCTAACATCTTGATATACCATATATGATCACACAAAAGATGTATATATAGTTATATATGTAAAAAGGATAAATGTCATTAGGGAAAATATAGTACCTTATTTTGAGATGGCAAATTTTCAAACAAGACCTAATTTCACGCTCTTATTTTATATACCAAACTTAAATAATAGCTTCATTTAATTTTAAAATAAGGTATGAGCTCCCAAATAAGCCGTACCAAAGTACCAAATATATTACTCCCTCTCCAAAATAAACTTTGTGCTTTACTTCTTGGTCCATCTGAAAATTATCTTCCTCTTTCCATTTAAGAAAGAAATGTTTGGTTTTTATCATTTCACTCATTTCAACCTTAATCTTACATCGTTTCCTTTTCGATCACTTTCTTAATAAGTGTGCCAAACCTAAACAAGTACATTTCAGGACAAGAGTATTTCATTTGTGAACTTTGTGTTCTACAAGAACTACATTTCAGGACTGGAGGAGTATTTCTTTTGTACTTTGTGTTCTTCCTTGCTACAATTGGTTTTTATTAGACTGCTGCTGCCTTTCTTATCTACAATTTGAAAAACCTGAAATACAGGGAAGGTGACTAGCTTGGTTGCTAAACGGGATGTGCTTTTGGCAACTAAGATTGAAGAGGCATTAAAGAAGAATGAGAGCTTAGAGTCTGTGTCTGTTGACAGTATTAAACGGGACATTGCCAGATCCGACATTACAAAGCAGAAAGAGAAGTTGGTTAAAGCTTCAAATGTAAAAACCAAGAGCCAAAATACATCCTCAGACAAAGTGTCTTCTTCTAATACCAGCAGCAGGAAAGGAGTGCCACTTGTCAAAAAAACTTCAAAGAAGACGACATTTTCTAGCAAATCACCACGGACTCCATTAAAGAAGACGACATTTTCTAGCAAATCACCACGGACTCCATTATCAAATCAGCCTAAAAGAGGAGTAGCAATCAAAGTATCTAAGAAGACATATAGTGGGAAGAAACAGTCAGATAGCCAAAAGCCTAATGGATCAAAACTAAATGTTGTCGGATTTCGGGGCCGTAGTTCATCATCAAGTGATAAGAGAGGGAATATTAAGGTTTCTTGATGTATGTATGCAGTCCATTTGGTCTTGACTCATGATTATTTATAGTTGTGGGGTAGATTTATTTTACTTCCTCACTTTTCACTCGGTTAAGGTGTTGCCATGTCACCGAGAGATAACGGATTCAAAATTCAAAAATGATATTTGTACACACTCTTATACACACTTTTGTACACACCTATGTCTGTGAAAGTTTTTTTTTTGTCTGTGAACATCGATTCACAGACAATGTTTTGCACAAACAAAATATTGTCTGTTAACCGGATTCACAGACAAAAAAAAGCTTCACAAACATGGTGTGTATAAGGTGTGTACAAGGGTGTGTACATCAAGAATGGTAGGGAAGGCTTTCCCCTTATACGTCCTTGTCCTTGTGGTGGGAGTGGGACCCCCCCTTTGGACTGGGTGCCCTTTTTATATTGATTGTAGAGTACGGAGTATATATTTATCATAATTAGAGGTCAACTTTATTTTCCATGATATATTGAAAATTCGCCAGAGACTGTAGGGGTGGACCGGTTCCGGTTCGGGCCTGGCCGGGCCTCGGTTCATGAAAGGGGAGGCCCGGAACCGGCCCGGGTAACCCCCGGATCCGGGCCAGGCCTCGGTTCATGTAATTTTTTTTTGGCTTTTCCTAATTAACCCCCAACCCTTCCCCCTCACCCCAAACCACCTCAAATGGCCGATCATATCCAGCCCAACCCAAAAACTTTAAAAAAATTCAAAAAAAAAAAGGATAAAAATTGGCCCGGCCCGGGCCCGAACCGGCCGGGCCGGTTCACTATTTAGCAGGCTCGGGCCTGAACTGTTTACCTCACCGGGCCGGGTGGCCCGAACCGGGCACCAACCGGTTCACCGGTCCGGTCCGGTCCCGCACAGTTGTGGGCCGGTTGGCCCGACTCGAGTCCACTCCTACAGAGATAAGAGACAACGATTTAATGGAAAAGACCGAGAACCCATTTAGAGTCCATTTGGTAGCACAAAAATCGGTTGTTTTGGTTGATTCTGTTGAAATTTATGAAGTTCTGGCTGAAGTGGTTGCATTGGCTGATTCTGCTGATTTAAGAAAAAAATAATTTTAAAATATATTTTATTAATAAACTAAAGAAAAAATTATATGTAAAAATAGCTACAATAGTCGTCTACAATAACTTTAGCCAATACAGCCAGAAAAGTAACTTCAAACTTACTTTTTCTGCTTATTACAAAATTCAGCGCACGAAATCAAAATTTATGTGTTTGGTGAAAAAGTTGGTTGATAAGTCTGATAATCCGAAAAATAGTGTTGCCAAACGGTCTCTTAGTAAAAGTTAAAACTGTGACGCTATGGCTGATTTGGTTGAGTGTGATTTTGTTCACCCTTTTAAGGATGGGTGAACATCACCCCTATGGCTCAATGGTTGTCATGTGGCTATGGTTGGATTCGGGTCAGGCCACCCGGCCCGTGGACCGGCCCGGCCCGCTACTGTGCGGGATCGGGCCCGGCCCGGTTCTCGGGTCCGGGTCGGGCCTAGGCCCGGGGGGTAGGGCGGGTCCGGGCTCGGGTCTCAATTTTGGTGAACCGGCCCGGCCGGGTCGGGCCCGAACCCAGGCCAAATTGAATTTATTTTATTTTTTTTTTTTCATTTTTGGGGTTCCACCCGGGTTGGGCTTGATGGGTAGGATGTGTTTGGGGGGGTTTGGGAGGGTGGGGGGTGAGGGGGGGTTTGGGAGGGTGGGGGGGTGAGGGGGGGGGGGTTAGGAAAGCAAAAAAAAAATTCCAAACCGGAGGCCCGGCCCGGCCCGGCCCCGGACCGGACCCGGTGGCTACCCGGGCCGGTTCGGGTCCACTATTCTTGAACCGCCGGCCCGTCCGGGCCTAGGCCCGACCCGGACCCGACCCAGACCCGAGTCCATCCCTACATGTGGCTATACATTTCATTTTTTTCTTTAAATTGTTATAATTTTTTTATGGTTTAATTTTTGTAAAAAAAATTGTCAGATTTAATACCTTTTTATGATCTTTCCAATTGTATCAATTAGAGGTGGACTCGGGCCGGGTGGCCCGACCCGGGACCGACACTGTTCCGGCCCGGCCCTGTGGCCTGGCCAGGGATCGGTTCGGGTAGGCCCGACCCGGTGGTTTTACGGTGCGGGCTCGGGTCCGCCAAATGATGAACCGGTCCGGCTAGGCCGGTTCCGGTTCCGGGCCTTTTATTTTATTTTTTGTTTTTTCAATTTTTTATTTTTCAGGGTTGGGCTGGGTGTTTTGGGCCATTTGGGGTGGTGAGTGGGTCGGTGGGGGTGGGGGGGTATTAGGGGATTAATTAGAAAAAAAATAGGAAATGGTCCGAGGCCCGGCCCGGCCCTGACTGTAACACCCCCAAATTTCTCACCCAAAAATAATACTTTATTCAAAATAAATATTTACTTTATTTGAAAACATCAGAGTTGTGCAGCGGAAATCAAAAATGAAATAGGGGTGCCACCGCCACACTCGATTCTCTCTTAATCGAGTGCACAGGCTAAAACAACTTAAACTTCAAAATCAAAAGTTCACTCATTAAAGTTATTGAAAAAGAAATTTACAATGATTTACTAATAAAGTTTTCTAGCGAAAGCTCTCTCTCGAAATCAACTTCAACATCGATCAACTCAACACCTGTACAAAAATCATGTACAGAAAGAAAAAATAAAAGAAACGCACATTAGCAATAATGCTAAGTAAGTCTCACCTAATCTTTTAAAATAATAATAATAGTATATATATAAATTCGTACAACCATTAGTATAAAAATATTTTTCAAAACACTTTATAAATCACAAGTAAACGATATCTGTACAAAATCTCAATCACACATAACTCGTGAATCATAATAATTCCAAAATACATGAAACGCCAAAATTTCTCCTCTATTGAATTTCTCCAAAAATCACTTTGTAACTAAATTCCTAATAATTTAGAAGGGCGGTGCTCAACACTTTGGTTGAGCCCGGTGGTCCGTTGTTATGTACGGCCACCCCGGGACTATCGCCGGTACCACAACTGCTCCTTGGAAACGGAAACAACTACTTTAAATGTGCACACCCCCTAAAGGTATTCCAAGCCCTCCGGGTTAGTAAGTCGATCCGGATAGCCGGGATGTTTTCTACCAACTACCCCACCTCAAAAACTGAATGATTAGGAGCTACTACTATCACTACTATTCAAAAGCCGGGATGTTTTCTACCGACCGTCAATTCACCTCAACCAAAACCAACAAAAATTGAGTAGTAGTAGACCTAACCATCCTCCACATTTTAAGGGACGTGGAAAACCAACACCACGGATTTCTCCCGTGATGCTCACCCTTTATGAAAATATTTATTTTTCTTTATTATTTTCTCAAAATCAATCGAAGTTTATACTTTAAAAATTTCCTTTTCATCAAACTCCCACAAAGACAACAAATTACGTACTATTACAAAATCTTCCAAAATCGTATACAATAACTCATATCAACAAAACAATATAACAACTAATATCTCAAATACAACCCTTTCATATAATAATATTCACTCAAATTCAGCACACATAAATTCAATTCTCAAATATGCACACAAAAATAATTAAAGGAAATCACGAAGAAAAAGAACTAATTTCGGTTGACGTGAAACTTACTTCGAATCACGATGAATCTTAACCGAAGCTTCTATCTCAATCTTCTCCAAATCACCTTCTACAATATTAAACTCTAAAAATTATTTCCTTTATAATTTATGGTCTAATAATCCCATTTATCAATTAAGTTCCATAATCCTCATTAATGAATTTTATTCATTTGTTTCAATAATACGTAGTACTAGTATTATTATTATACTGCGTATTTATAACCAGCCAATTTAAGTATATATATAAATTTTTTTTTAGTCCAATAAGCTAAATTAAAATCCAGTCTGGCCATTTAAAAAAAAAGTTGAAGAGTATCACAGAGTACGTATCCCGTACCTGTGACTTCCTCGTCGACCAGAACCGGCCAAGCAAAGAAGGAGTTCCGGCGTATTCCTCTATCCACAGCGATTCTCGTTAGAAACGTGACAACGTCCGGCAACAGCCCTTCTTGGTTTCAGCAGTCCAGCGACCTGCGAGGTTCTCCGGTGGCGGATCCCTTCACTGTCCAGTGACAAAAACGTATGTACCCCAGCGACGGTTCTTCCTTCTTCGGCGGCAAGTGACAGAGATAGGTTTGTTGTAGGCGGTGAAGTCTAGTGGCAGCAGACAGCAGGGTCCGATGGCATCAACTACCGCTTCTTTTCCTCCGACGTGAAACCAATCCAGCAACGACTCCGGCAACTTGTACTCGCTCCTCCTATTATGTGTGGTGTCGGGCGACGGTGAAGGCTCTGACAGGGGTTCTTCATCAATTCCTCTTTATCCCGCTGACAAGCTTATGATTCTGTTCGTTTTCCGTTCGTACGTAGCCATGTTGGGAAAGGTCGATATATGTATATGTATATATATGAAGTACTCCGTATATATAGTTACATAAGTGTATCCGTTTCCCTTTTTTTGCAGCGGCGCATATTGTACTCCGTATATAGGCTTAGTCGATCCTTCTAGGCACTAGGGTTTCCATGTATTAATTAAGATTGATTAGGTTTGGGCCGTTTCATCACTCTTCAAATTAGTTGATGTGCAGCGGAGAAATACTCCATAGGTATATATGGAAAAGTCAAAATTTGTATACTAGTAATAAGTAAGTACTACGTACGTACTCCATAATATTATTATATTATTATATGCTATATAGGTGTGTACTTATTTTATTATACCACTTATAAAACAAAATGTTACTTCTAGTATTTAGATCAAAATTTTATTTGATTAACATAATTGTCATAAAAAAATATCACTTTTTAATATGATTAAAAAAAATATCTCTTATTAGTAATTAGTAATGTTTTTTTTTATTTTATTTTATTGAATTTCTAGGAGTGTCACACTGACCCGGACTGGAGTCAGTGGCTACCTGGGCTGGTCCCGGGCCCAACTATTCTGAACCGGCGGCCCGCCCGGTCCTAGGCCTGACCCGGACCCGGCCCGTTGGAATTTAAAAAAATTGAAAAAATACTCCCCCGTTCTGTTGGAATGTTCCCGCTTTCCTTTTTTGGATGCCCCGTTGGAAAGTTCCCATTTCCCTAAATGGAAAGTTATCCTACATCAAAAAAGGGCCAAACAGTGCAAAATAGTGTCAAACAGTGTCGAAACATTGTCAAACAGTGTCGAAACATTGTCAAACAGTGTCGAAACAGTGTCAAAACAATAAAATTTACCCCCTGGTAAGTTTTTTTCTAAGTATAAATTTTTTAGCGGATTTTTTTATTGGTAACATATGAAAGATAATAAAAAATAAAAAAATTGGTATATATATATATTTTTTTAAAATTTAATAAAAAATAAAACAATTAAAACAATTGCTAAATTATATGGAGTAACAAATTACCTTGCCACATGACATTCATG